ATTTCTTTCTGCGGTAAACCAAGGCTACAGAACCCGGTCTGTCCTGCAGAAGAAGAGGATTTATACCTTTCCCAAGGGTATTAGCACGTAAGTGAATGCAATAGATTCGACTGGAATTCGAACTCGGCTCTCTGATTCTTCAATCAGAGCCGCCATCCATTACTCCACCGTGTCTCCCTTTTTATTTACAAAACTGATATCTGGATGAGGCGTGGAAACAGAACAATCTATGAACTGAAGGCTTCGGTTCCAAGGTTCGAGCGTCCGACGTCGTTAATATGACAACAGTTCAAAGAGTTCAAATAATTAAAATACCGAATATCAGAAATTAAAAAAAATTTTTTTTTTAAGCACTCCGCCCCAAGCAAGGCAGAAGTTCCAGTAGCACGTAAGGGGTTACAGAGATTGAGAGTAAGAGTAAAGAGGAGTGTTTGAAAAAAGGATAAAGAGAAGGACAGGGATCAAGGTCAAAGCTTTAGATGTCGATTGACGTTTCATTTAATTATTTGAAGATTATAGCTATCAGGAAAGCAAGTGATAGGAAAGGAGTTCCACTGATGAGAGGTGCGAGATAAGAAGCTGTTGGAGTAGAAGAGATGGATACATTTAGTCGTTTCGACCGTGAAAGGGTGGGACCGAGATGCCAACGAACCAATGAAGTAGCTCGTCGGAGCAGTTACCATGAAAGTACTTGTAGAAAAGGCAGAGGGAAGCCACAGCACGTCTGTGAGAAAGCGACTGTAGACGGGATGCCAGATCAGGACCAACCACGTTGCATATATAGACAGATATGGGTATGGCTGTTAAACAAATTATTTGTATTTACACACATATTTGCACGAATTAAAAGGAGTAAAAAAATTATTAAAAATAGGAAAAAAGACTTCATTGTTACAAAAATTCGAACATTCACACTTGGTTTCGTTTCAACTGAAATGAAAATGCTTATATTTTACTCGCGTCCGGAACAGATTGATCTATAGCTATTTAAAAAATATATATATATAATATATATATATATATATATATATATATATATATATATATATATATATATATATATATATATATATATATATATATATATATATATATGTATATATATATATATATATATATATATATATATATATATGTATATATATATATATATATATGTATATATATGTATATATATATATATATATATATATATATATATATATATATATATATATATATATATATATATATATATATATATATATATATATATATGTATATATATATATATATACATATGTATATATATATATATATATATATATATATGTATATATATATATATATATATATATGTATATATATATATGTATATATATATATATATATATATATATATATATATATATGTATATATATATATATATATATATATATATATATATATATATATATATATATACATATATATATATATATATATATATATATATATATATATATATATAATCTACCCGTTCCAAATCGATAAAGTTCCAAATCTTTTTGTGTTCTATCTTTTTCCACAAGTTTCCCGCTATTTTCAGGATTGAATTACAATTATTTTAAGTAAATACCTTTTTAGAATTTTTACATTCCTCAGTAAATCATTGATATTTACTCAAAAAAGTGTAAAAAAAGGTAATTTTAATGTATGTTTTTTATTTTATTTAGGCTCTAAAAATTTTCCATTTCCGAAGTACAGAGAAAAAAAATCAGTTTTAAAAATAATCAGCTCACTGGTGTCGCTAAACTGTTACATATATACCGAAAGTGAAGACACCCATCACACGGACCTTTTAATATAGTCGTCCTGGTAATTCAACTTCACCTCGTCACCTCCGGGAACGTTTACAGATAGGTGCATAAATAGATAGACCTTTACTGAACAGACTGCTCGATGTTTTGAGCTTTTCGCTGGTATTTTAATTCAGCGGAAGCGAAATCTTGTTGCCTTTGTTGACCCTAGTCCAATGTCATCATATCTGCTCTTGGATCAGTTCTGACCATGATTAGCAGGCACTGAGCAAAAGAGAAGTTCCGGTTTTTCTCTACAACTTGCTTCTTCGGTTCGATTGTTTTGAAGTTAGCGAAGAAGACCGAAAAATGCGACACTGAAAACCGAAGGCGCATTTAGATAGACAAAGTTGCCTTCCAAAAGTTAAGCAGAGTATTAAGAAACAAAAAGAAGAAAAAAAAAGATGTAGAGAAAAGACTATTGGGCTGTTACGCAATATCAGTCTTCCTATATGGAAGATCTTCTCATAAAAGAAGGGACTTGTAGCAACAGAAATGTCGTCCTACAGAAGGATGCTGAGGATACCATGAACCGAACGTGTGAGTAACGACGAAGTTTTAAAGAAAGTGGAAACAAAAGGAAACATATACTTAACGTGAGAGAGAGAGAGAGAGAGAGAGAGAGAGAGACAGACAGACAGACAGACAGATAGACAGACAGAGACAGAGTTGAAATTTCTAGCGCACATAATGAGGAAAGAGTGCTTGGAAAATGTGATACTCACATGACAGTTTGAAGGTAAGAAGGACAGAAGAAAACAACGCCTACTTAGTGAGCATGAGTAAATTAAACGCGGAACAAGTTTCAGGAGAGATAACAAAAAGACAAAAATATTAATAGCTACAAAGAACGAGAAATCGTGGAGAGCCATGATTACTTACATCCTGAAGGGACACGACACATGGATGAAGAAGGTCTCCAAAATTTGCAACATAATGTCCACATGGAAAAAACATCACTTTTACAAATGAGGAATATTTGTAATTTTTTTATTCAGCATGATATGGCTATACAAATGAGTAACACTTACAAAGGAACAATGCCGTGTTTAATTTGAGGAATATATATATATATATATATATATATATATATATATATATATATATCAAAAGGAAAACTATTCTTTACCAATACGTTTCATCATCGAGTGGATTTTATCAAGACAAATGTCAGAATTTTATTTGGCAACATATATTTATAAACAGAAGTAAAAAAAATATCTTTATGTTTTCAAAAGTTTTAAATTTAAGAAGGGTGAATTTAAGCCAAACTATGGAAGATGCTAAGTGACGTAATTTAATGCCTAATTAACTAAAGTAAGTAAATGTTGATTTTTTATTTGTTTATATTTATTTAATTACTTTTTGTATTAATATCATTATTATTTTTTATTTTATTTTAATTTGGTATATTATTTATGCATTTAATTTTATATAATAGATTTTCATTTATCCGTTTTCTTTTAATTAAAAAAAACCCCCAAAGAACTTATAGTGATGTACGTATTTCTTTTCGGATATGAGATATTTGAAAAAAATACGGGGTAGCTGATTAGCATTTTGGCAAGTCTCGATAGTGACACTCTCAAGAACTTTCCGTCTAAGTAAATGATTTTCTCTATTAATAAATGTGATATTATATCGAAGTTTCGGTTGAACTGAGTATGAAGAATGCATGTGAGAAATTATTATTTATAAGATCATTTTTGTGTTCATAGATACGTTTTTTTTTCATAAAGTTCATCAGAAGACGAAACCTGTTACTAAAGAAAAGTTTTCCCTTTGTCTTTATTCATATTGTCTTTTTACAATTTGTATCTGACACAATAATATGTCGAAGTATATCGTTACGATCATTAAAATATCCAGTTCACGGGTTAACATTTAGGCAAGACATAATATCGGCACTAACTCTCCTTTTGAGTAAGTTATTTTCACTTAATGATTATGGACTTCTTTAGATCGAAGTTGTGATTGAACTTATTTCTTCTGTATGATTAACGCATTTGAGAAATTATGTACATTGTAAGAAATAATTGTGAAAGATTATTTTATTTACACCTTGGTCAGAATTATTGGTATTGGTATTTTGCGTTCTGTTTATATCCAAAATAGTTTTGGATGAGTTTGTAAGTATTTTGATATTGTTAAGATTGGATAAATTGTTTTAGATAGTAGGTGTTAAGGACTTGGTAAATAGTCTTCCTAGTTTTTTTTTATCTAGTTCATTGTCATTGTTGTGGTTAATGTCATTATCTTTTTGTAGTTGTAGCTTTTGTATATCTTTCTCTTAGCATTGTATATGAAATAGTGAAGATATTGGAGGTTTCTGAAGGTGTCTTCTATGTCACCCGTTGGTTCCTTTCGTTTTTATTTATAGTGTTTTTTTTCAGATATATTTTATTTATATCTGAATTTTATATACACACACACTTTTTTTTTATTTTCAATGTTACAGTGCATTTCTTGTCTCATTTGATTGTAATACACGCAAAAATATTCGTGAATATGAAAGATTATAATAAAAATAAGCAGACATAATGTTTGTAATTTATTCAATGAGACATGCCTAAAAGAGAATTTACTGCCTAAATAAACAATACATACATGCATATATATATATATATATATATACGTGTATATATATATATATATATATATATATATATATATATATATATATATATATATATATATATTAAAAAATATTTTTGAAATTTAAAACTTAATTCACCACCTAACATTAACTGTAAATTTAAATATGTATAAATATGGATGTGTATGAAAGATATGTAAGTATTATATATATATATATATATATGCATATATATCGGTGTGTATCGATATGTGAATGAGGTTATATGTGTAATTGCACATATACATGAATGTATGTGTTTTTTACGTAAATATGTATGCGGTGTATTTATGAAAAACAGTAATTATTTTACTATTAATTAATATTATTATTAATATATATATATATATATATATATATATATATATATATATATATATATATATAGAGAGAGAGAGAGAGAGAGAGAGAGAGAGAGAGAGAGAGAGGTTGAGTCATCAATAATCCCTTTTGGGAACCAGCCAAATATAAAAGACACAGGTTTACTCAATAGAGCCTCCAAAGGTTTGATCAATTCAAATACTTTTTTCTTTTTACGAAAATCAAATCAAAAGTTTTCTTCGTTGTAGAAAAATCGGGTTTTGGGCGTTGTGGCGACTGTCGGATCGGAGAACTGGTTGCACGTCTTCAGAAGTATCTTGGACAAGGGTTTCGGGCCACAGAAGAATACCCCGATATCATTTCTGAAATAAAAGATGTATTGAAGTGAAATGAAAAGAAAAAAAAAAAAAAAAGAAGCTTCCTACCATTTTCCGTTTTGCATACCAACTTCGAAAATTTGGATTAATTTTTCTTAGTTTCCCAAGTAAATCCCAAACTAAAATTCTCCAAAACATACAGCCGAATTGCATCCCTTACACACCGGTTGCATCGCAATTAATTTAATCTTATGTAAAGTGGACGAGGATTGTATTAAGCCAAATAGATACAGAACTCAAATTTCATACCGGACCTGTGTGTCTGTCCCAGTCACCGAATACAGGAGTACGTGACCTCACATCTTTATCCGATATTACAAGTGTGAGAACAAGAATGCTGGACAAATGGATATATTAACAACAACCAAAAGAAGGCATGTTAAATGATTTTAACAGTTTTGTTGTCAAGCAAAAGCAACTCTACCAAGTTGTGTAAAAACAGGCTCTAGAAACACTGTCCCCATGAATCGTTTTTTTTTTTAAATGGATTTTTTTTACATTAGTTAAGCGAAACAAACATTTAGGTTTAATTATTGATCATCGCACCTAAAAAGAAAGTGAGAAGAAAGGAGTAACCATCAATTGTAAGAGAGAATCTACGTGCCATGTTTTAATGGATGTTAGTTATCTGATAATTGACATCTATTAAAACATGGCACGTGGAACTAGAACAGTCTACCCCAGTGAGCGAAATAAAGGGTTCAGTTTGAGATTCCAACCACCGGAAGAAGGCCGGAGCGTACAACGACCGAAACGTTATAATAAATATGGCAACAAAGATGAGGACAATAGTCCGAAATGTACATAATACCTCATCTCAGAAATATAGACAGATATCTAGGAATTGTTTTAACAGAGGGTGGAATATGTTCAAAAGCTAAGCAAGAAATTAAGAAATAGGAAAATTTCGTTAGAAAAAAAAATACTGAAATCTGATGTAATATCCCGACAGGGAATACGGGACAATCTCATCACAAATGAAGATGGGACTTGAGGCAGCAGAAGTGTAGTTCTACAGAAGGATGCCTCCACTAAATATACGATTAAAGATGCATTTTTTTAGGAAAAAAGAAACAAAATGGTTGCTTATAATTAGAATCAGAAAGAGATAACTGAAATTTCTAGGGCATATAATGAGGACAGATGACATGGAGAATTTGACACTCACAAGACATACGAAAGCAAGAGAGACAGAAGAAAACAGCAAGTAAGCTACCGAGCAAGCTTGCGTAAATGTTTGGCAGAACAGGGATTAGGAGAGATAGCAAAAAACAAAACTTACTAAGAGTAACAGCCATGGTCGCCCATGTCCTGAAGGGTCACGACGCTTGGAAGAAGTGACCATAACCCCCACCTCCCCGGCCAAAAAAAAGCACGTTTCTAAGGATTCTGTTTTTCTCAATATAAACTTAGAGAATTGCATCACCGGCGAACGTTCCCGGTTTCAAATCACGATGAGGCTAAAAGAAACTTTTTTTTTTTAATCATTTCACCCCAAACAAGGTGATAATGCCACTAAGACGCAAGCGTTTACTGGGAGTGAAAAAGAATGAGAAAACTTTAGTGATGAGGAAGGACAATAAATGAATAGGGATCAGAAAGACAGACAATGAAAATTGGAGTTGTATTTAATTTTTTTGAATATCAGAGGTGTGAGGGAAGCAAGAAATTGGGAGTACCACAGGCGAGAAAAGAAACGATTAGAATAGAACATATGACTGTCTCTAGCCTAGTTCAACAGTGAAACAGTGAGACCTACTTGCCAATCTAGTAGAACACTTAAATTCATGTAGTCGAGACACTAGGGAAAAAAGCTCAGTTGCCACGAAAATATTTATAGAAAAGACAGAGGGAAGCCACATCATGTCGTGAGAAAGTGACTGAAGTCAAGATGCCAAGTTAGGATAGATTATATTACAGAAACTTCTTTGAATTTTGACGGCATATCAACCTCGATGGGTTATTTAATGCCGACAAGATTTTTATTGCTGGTAATATTTTTTCCGAAAATATGGCAATATTTTCTTTTTCAAAAATGTATTGCTGGTAATATTTTCTTTTTCAAAAATGTATTGTTGGCAATATTTTTTTAAAATGTATTGCTGGTAATATTTTTTAAGTGTATTGCTGGTAATATTTTTTTTTCAAAAATGTATTGCTGATAATATTATTTCAAAAATTGTTTTCCTGGTAAAAAATTTTCAAAAAAAGTATTGCTAGTATTAAAATTTATTTTTATACTTTCATAGTGTTTTGACCCCTTTTGGTGGGGGTAACTATTTTCACATAGCTGAGACCCTGACATGTGCTACCACCAGCAATTGAAAGGTGGTTCCAAGCTCCTCAAAACCTTCTGATCAAAGGCCTTGCTGTCGGGCGTAGTTTATCGTCTTACCCAGGACGCGGATGTAGTTTATCATCTTACCCAGGGCGTGGATGTAGTTTATTGTCTTACCCAGGATGGTATATATTAGGAGCAGCAATATTCAGTGGACGGACGAATGTTAGATTCATAAATATCCAAAATGGATTCGGACGAGAGAGTGTTTAGTACGACACAGTGAACCAATTTTGCTAGTAGTAGACGTGGCAATCGATTCAATATAGTTTACTGGCGAAACAAAAGCGTGAATCCCCTTTATGTTTTTAGAGCGCTTAAAGCCTTACCGTGAATATAAGCCAGATATACTAACAATCTTTGCATGCATATTGTGTAAACCAGTGCTTTTCAAACTATATGATATGGCGGACCGGCATTTTTGTTTCTCAATGTGTCACGTACCTGTAATATTTCGTGGTAATAATTTATATATAATTTATATATGGTACGTTGAAGTAATGGACAGCAGCTTGGATTGAGGAATTGGATAGCCGAGTTCGAATTCGATTACATTCACTTCCGTGCTAATATACTTGGGAAACGTATGAATCCTCTTCTTCTCCCTCCAGCTAGGGGTAAATAGCAGGGCAGACTGGGTTCTATAGCCTTGGATGACAACTGGTCTAGGAGAAGAACAACGCTGAATTCAAAACCGTAGTGTACCAGGTCTCTGTATTCAGCCCTTCAAAAAGTGTGGATGGTTCTGGACAAAACCTTCACCACTATAATCAAATCTCATACGCTGGTGTCGGGCTGTCCTAGGAACTGATCTGCTTGACCCTCATGCGTCGTCGACGGGAGTGTCGAATATAATATATATTAATTGTGTATAATTCAATTTATATTATATATATATATATATATATATATATATATATATATATATATATATATATATATATTGGCATCAAATGACAAGTGGAAAAAATCTTACATTTGTCGACGCGTTTCGTCTTCCGACTTTTCTAGGCAAAAATGCAATCGAAATTTTTTCCACTTGTCATTTGATGCCAATCTGTCTTTAATCCACAGAATTCATCTGGGAATTTAACTATATATATATGTGTGTGTATATATATATATATATATATATATATATATATATATATATATATGTATATAATGATAATATTTTTTTATCTTCCATTTATTTTGCAAAAAGTAACTCAATATCAAAACATATAAAAAGTAATAAAAATAATAAGCAGTTTATTAACACAAAAAACAAAAATTATATAACCTTAATCTTTACAAATGATTCCTTAGCATGGCCTAGACACTGGCCGCTTACCGGTAGCTGATGGCTCGCGTACCGGCACCGGTCCGCGGACCATCATTTTGAGTAGGACTAGTGTAAACATTCAAAGAGTATCAAAACAAAACATCATAGACTCACTTTCATTTGATTTCTTATACAATGTTTTTTTCATATTTTTAATCATTTCACTTCATGTCCACTACTATAAAGATTAGCAAAGGCTTGAAGCCTTGAAACTTATTACTTTTAGTTCCTTCTTTAATATGCCATGTCCTTTCAGGACGTGGTCTCTTCACAACTTCCTATCCCTTGTAGCTCTTAGCAATGTTTATCTTTTTACTATCTTTCATGCTCTCTGTCCTGTCAGTCATTTAAACAAACTCGTAAGGTATGTGTTATAGTGGAACACACCTATTCTGTAGTTAATAGACTCTCCCACCTATAATAAGTAGGAGTCGCTCAGGGGGTCAGTCAGTCGATGCCGGACGACCGTTAGTCGGATACTAAAGTATCAGCGACCACAACTAGATTACTCTGCGTCATTACCTATTATATCAAGTTCCTAACGTTTTGTACGTCGAACCTATTTTAGGACCGACTTAGTACCAGCTCCTTTTACCTTGTGTCAAATGCTCTTTTCTTTCTGTGTCGTGTCCTTTCAGGGCGTAGGCGATCATGGCTCTCCACCTCCCTCTATCCCTTGCAACTCTCAACAAGTTCCTTCCCTCTGCCACCTCCATCAGACCACGTTTTGTCATCCACTTGCTTAAAGCCGTTAGGTATGTCTCACATTAACAATAAGTTAATTTAAATTATCTCTTTCTGATTCTGAGGGACCTTTGTATTTAACTTAAAACTTCTTCGTTGCTTACATGATTAGTCCATAGTATTCTCAGCGTCCCGCTGTAGAAATGTATCTCTGTTGCTTCGGTAGTCCTGGGCATGATGATAAACTACATCCGGCAGCAAGGACTCCGATCGGGAGACTGGAGGTTTTGAGGAGCGTGGAACCTCCTCTTAACTGCTGTTGTTCTCAGGACCACCCTGACCCGGGATGCTAACACCTGTTAATGTCCCAGCTATGGACAAATAATGAATCTCCAAACAAAAACAAAACACCATGAAAGTATAAAAATACATTTTTATAGTAAAGATACCAGCAATACTTTTTTTTTATATAAAAGAAAATTACCAACAATACCTATTTACAGAAAAATTATCAAATTACTTCAAAGTTCTCAAGAAAAGTAAATTTCGGCATTAAATGACGCATAATGAATTTAGATGCCGTTAAACAAATAAATCAATTTTGCCTCAGGTATCCTCTTCATCTGTGAGGAAATTGTCCATCCATTCTATATCGGAGTATAGTAGCTGAGCTGACTTTTCTATGTTTTTGACGAACTTTTCTTGTTTCTCAATACTTTGCTTAGCTTCTGAAAAACATCTTTCGATATTCTAATGACTTGCTTGAAAATATATAAAATTAATACCTTAAACATTTTATAGAAATACTTGATTTTCACTTTTTAATGCATTTTTTATAAACAAAAGAAGTAAGTTATATTTGGAGCAAGGGTTTGTCAAAAAAGCCATCTAAATAAAGATGTCAGGTGAATCACACCAACAAGCGGCCCACCCTATCTCTGTCCGTTCCTGTCTGTCTCACACGTTCTTTTCATGATAATTTAACGGCCTCAGATATCGAGACTCGACTGTGGGTTGAAAAATAGTTTAATACCCCCACCCCGCCAATAAAAAAAATCCCCAAAGACCAAGAACAGAATTATATAAATGTAATGTATTTTTAAAAATAAATCTTACCCTTGATGAGATTGTTTAATATCACGGAAAATAAGATCCCACCGCGGCCTCCCAAAAAATGTCTTTTGTCGTAACCGTGTAATCGGATCGCAGGAATCGTCAGCATGCAGCATTATGTGTCCTGCCTTAAAAAAATAAACAATATTAAAAACAAAATCATTTGTACCATGTTGGTTATTATATATTTTACAAGCTGGAAAGATTTAAAGAGAGTAAGCAATGAATTTAGGTTTGTATTGTTGCAGACACTGCTTCTAGTTAGACTAAAACCAGTGGCGACAATACTTTACACATGTAAATGAGTGGGTGTAAAGAAATGAAAGACAATTTCAACAAGGTGATATTTTATATTTTTTGTTGTGTTTTTATATATAATTAAATTTTATTATAACAGCAACATTAAATCCGAAGCAGGAATATAGAAAATAGATTGCAAAAAAATATCTCATGAAATACATCGGTGAAACATTTAGAAACTTAAATAAAAATATTATATGAAAATAAATCTTTTACAAAGCAATACACTGTTGCTGTAATAATAATAGCCACTTAAGAGTTATTGCCCTTGGACTTAGGCACACACTAACACCGAGAAGAATGGCGCTCTACCTTTGAATCCTATCCAAGTGTCTCCTGTCTTCTTTAAATGTTACAAAAGGTGCTGCGTGTGTATTATTTGTAACTTTTAAGCTCACGTTTTAACGTGAGCTTAAAAGTTATAAAAAAATAATATCTTTTTTAATTAACAATATTAAAAGAAAATATTACTTATATTATTATTATAAATTAAATAAAAACACTATTTACACTCTGATGTTATATTTTCAAGCTTATATTAGCGAGCTGTGACGCGATGGAACCCGGGTGTGATCGGAGCACCCACGTAGAACTGGATGGTAAATCATTTTTTTCTCAGTCTTATGACCAACAATAAAGTCTATGCAGTAGAAACTTCAAAGCGGCTATGCACTTGACCAAGTAGATATAAAATAAATAGATAAATAAATGAAAACTTTCAGGAACAGGTACTACTTGACTGGAAATTAAAAAAACTTCCGCCCGCGGCTTATATAAACAGAGTTGCGATAGTGTCTGTTGGTTCGTTGTTTTTGTTTAGCGGCATATCTCCCACTATGCGGAAATATAAATATTTTGCATGTAAATTTATTTTATTGTTTTGGAGACAACAATGATACCGCCCGTTAGAAAGTCATTTCATCTACCCTTTGGCGAATTTGGAGAGATGAGTAGAGGGGGTGATAGGGGAGTGTCACTGGTTCAAGGGAAAAGAGGGTCCATTAGTTTGTCATGACAGACGTGGCAAAAGTTGTCCCAAGGGTCACCTTTCTGTCCCCACACCGAACAGTGCAAGTGAATATCTGAATGAAGAACGAAATACACTGGAAACAGAATTCGCGTCTTTTCTCATCGTGATGCTAATACCCCCCCTTTTGTTTCCTTATAAACGTACAGAGGTGGTTTGTCAGTTTTGGGCACACTGATGCGAATGAGAATCAAAACACAAGTTGGGTTTATTTGGCTGGACTATGAAAAACTGGAAGAGGGACAGATGTTTTTGTGGAGACTTTTTTCAATTACCTTTTTTTCCGGCCTACAGTGGGGTAATGGTTAGCGTCTCGGATTGAATCGGAGAGTCGAGTTCATTGCATTCACTAACATGCTTATGAATCTATCTGTTCTCCCCCATCTATGGGTAAATAGCAAGACAGAGTTCTATGGTCTTGGGTGGCAACCAGTCTAGGGGATGGGAAAATTCTGAATTCAAAACAGCCTAGAGAGGGTTTGGTTCCGTCAGGCTATCTTGTCCAAAACACACCACCTCTGCTGATGCTGCCGTACATGTGGCACCCTTTAGACCCTAATGGAATCGGGATCATGAATCGTTGGTATACAAGACTATTTTAAAATAGGAATTATATCGCAGACACGAAGTACATCACAGGGAATGTAGAAATTGTATTTTGCTGATACACTTACTTGGTTTTCGTTCCAGCCTTGCGTTAGGTAAATATGGTAACTCAGGAACTGACTGTTTTCACCTTGATTGAAAATACTCTCAAGGGACTCCAAGAGTTCCTGAAACCACTGAAATGCTTTTGGGTTGGGACAGATCCAGAAAAAATATACTTTCTCCAGCAAAGTGTTTAAAGTCCGTTTTTCACTGGAAGAAACAATTGCAGAAAAGTTTTTCATTGCATAAATGCTGAATAATAAAGAAAAAAAGAAAAAGGAGAAGGACGAAGGGAAATAAGAGAGGATAAAGAAGAAAAGGATAAAGAAGAAAGAAAGGGAAGGAAAAAGAAAGGGAAGAGGAAAAAGAAAGGGAAAAGGAAGAAGAAAGGAAAAGTAGAAGAAAGGAAAGGAATGGAAAAAGAAAGGAAAAAGGAAAAGAAAGAAAAAGAAAAGAAAGGAAAAAGAAAGAAAGGAAAAAGAAAGAAAGGGAAAGGAAAAGAAAGAAAAGAAAAATAAAGGAAAGGCAAAAGAAAGGGACAAAAAAGAAAAAGAAAGGAAAAAGAAAGAAAAGGAAAAAGGAAGGGACAAGAAAGAAAAAGAAAAAGAAAGGAAAAAGAAAGGGACAAGAAAGAAAAAGAAAAAGAAAAAGAAAGGAACAAGAAAGAAAAAGGAAAGAAAAGAAAGAAAAGAAAAAGAAAGGGACAAGAAAGAAAAAGAAAGGAAAAGAAAGAAAAGAAAAAAGGGACAAGAAAGAAAAAGAAAGGAAAAGAAAGAAAAGAAAAAAGAAATAAAATGAAAAAGGAAGAAAAAGGAAGAAAAGAAAAAGGTAGAAAAAGAAATGAAAGGAAAAAAGAAGGAAAAAGGAAAAGAAAGAAAAAAGACGGAAATTAAAGGAAGAAATGGTAAAGGAGGAAAAGAAAAATAAAGGAAAGAAAAAGAAAGAAGAAGAAAAAGGAAGGAAAAGAAAGAAAAGAAAAAGAAAGGGACAGAAGGAAAAAGAAAGGAAAAGAAAAGAAAAAAGATTGTTAGTATGGAAAGTCAACATTTTGGTTATGTCATTATTTTGCCTTCTACTTACATGTGCCACCCATTTTACTTAGTGCTGAAAGTTTTGATATAATGTGGTTGGCCGTTGGTTGAAAAGCGTTTCGCATCGCTTTCAAAAAACTGTTCAACACGCGTCACGTTGGATTTGGTCGAGATCAAAACAAGCAAATAGAATGCGCGCAACATCACGACCTAACATGCGCACGCAAATGAGATATTTGCAATGGTCGTCTATAACGACTTTTACGAGCGCGTCAATAACAGCAATCGCGTTCAAGAAACTTTCATTGCAGATAGATTTTACTTAAAGGAACAATTAGTTAGCTTATCTTCATACCCTGCCTGGTGGCAAACGCTGCTGGTGGCGCTAGGGGTGGCGGTCCCGCCATAGCCACCGAAACCGTGAGATCACCACTGGTCGGCGGCTAATGAAGACAGGGTATCGCACGCTGTATGTTAAAAAAAAAAATGGTTTTTGTTGCTAAAGTGAATTGTAATTTTGTATCGCATGTCTTTTGAAGAATTGTGTTCTTTAAGACCTAAAGAATTCATTCACTTGAAGTCGTTTTTAATCAGTGATCTGAGAAAACGGTTGTATATAGATTATAGTTTAGACATTTCTAAACGAATTGAGTGCCATGCATGACATTTATATGATCCTAGTGGATATGTATGATTAAATAGAGAAATTCAGAACAAGACTACAAAATGAGGTCAATAGATGGTTGGCCAGGCACTGTCGATGAAAAATAAAACTAATCTCTCATGCAAACCGTACACACGAACAATCCACCTTACAATTGCCGCTTTAATTTTCCATGCGCTACTTAACATGTTTAATAAAAATATCGGCATGCAGGGGATGAGGAACAGTAGAGGGACGGGTTACATAACAAGTTGTATTTTACTAGGCTATTTGCAACCCCAGGGAGAGTTCATATGAGTAGGGATTCTCACCCTAACAGCATGCAATTTCTAAAAAAAAAAAAATACCACTGTTGATTGGCAACTTTCACGCTTACCAAACTTGTCTCTTTTACCCATCTCATCTTCAGTTTGAGTATCATGCTTAAAATACAGTTACGCGTAAAAGTATTGAACACATAAAAATTTTAAAAGTCTTTTTAGAAAAATAATTATAATTCTAGCATTTGTGAATGCATTGAATATTGCTGCCACATCTGGTCTAGTGCTTCTACGTATTCAGAGATTCTTGATAAAATACAAATACGGATCTGCAAAGTTATTGGTCCTGACCTGACATCTTTCCAGCTGCCGTTACGTAGCTTCCCTTTGCCTTTTCTATAAATATTTTTATGGTAATTGTTCTGAGCTTTCCTCTTTCGTACCTAGACTTTACGGATTTAAGCGCAGCACTAGATTGGCGGCAATGTCTCATAATTTTTCATTTGAGTTGAAATGGCTAGATATAACCGTAAGTCCTTTGCCAAGAGTTTCTTCACTCGTACTCGCCGGTTGGGAAGAGAAAAAGAAACTATTTGAGAAGAAATAGCAGTTGCATCTAGCTAGTTCAGCAGTAAAACGGTGGGACCTAATTGCCAATCTCGTAGTACGTTTAAAATCATGTAGGCGGGGCACCAGCAAAAAAAGCTCATAAGAACAATTGCCATTAAAATATTTGCAGAAAAGACTGAGGGAAACTACGCCACGTTAGTGAGAAAAGGACTGGATACTAGATGCTTGGTCATGATCGATTACATTACAGACCCTTCTTTGGATTTTGTCAAGAATTCCGAGATGTACTGCAGGAACACCAGACCATTTAATACACAAACTAATGGTAGATTTATAAATGTGCAAGATGGATTCTGACGTGAAGAATTTTCTGGCACGATACAGTGAACCCACTTTCCTTGCAATAGATGCAGCAATTGATTCGATATAGTCGCTCCACTTCATGTTAGTGGAAAACGTGAAGCCAAGAAGGCGTTGCTCTCCTAGAGTTTAGCATCAGCCATGATGATGGCAGGCAGAATATATTTTCTGTGATGATTAAATGAAAGCAGTTTTGTTAAGGCGTTAAAATTTACAAGCCTTTTTTTGCCCCAGTTAACCATTGTTTGGAAGTCCTATTTGTGAATGAAACAGTCCGATTCTCGCAGTTCCGTGCTAATGTCCACAGCTTCGAACGATGTTAGTTACAGTTTGGCTCTGGCCACTGTTCCCGGCACAGTTCGCTGTTTACATGCCCCAGATAATCCCTGATCAGTTTTATTGCAAGATGGATGCCTCCAATCACTGCTTGCACAGCTCTGTTCTGAGCGGCTGTTTCATTATTTTCTTTACTGTTTCCAGTGTGAGTCTTTGCGCTTATTAGACTGATCTTAGTCAAAGTTTCGCTGATTGATTCTTTATGTGAGACAAAAGTGCTAATACATACGTAAATAATTCCGTCATAAAATAAATTGAAGATTGTCTTACTTGATGTACTTAAGGACTGACGCAAACGGTGTAACACCAATTCCTGTTCCAATGAATACGTCTACTTTATACGTAAAGACATCCTGAAAACAACAAAACAAAAAGTTAAAAAAAACAACAAAAGCAACAAGTAAAACAAAATATATCATAGACACAATATCGCCATTCTTTCATTAACACCAATCAATTCATGAACATAATTCTTCTCTTCATGTTTTTCAATGAATCCCCATCTCGGATCTTTTTAAAGGTGTATATATCGTTTTCGTCTATAGTGTGGCTTTTGTAACAGACAAAATTACAGATATCTGTTTCTACAGCAAACATACGAGGTCTGATAAAAAATATTGCAACTGGTGCTATAGAAAAAAAAACTACAACACATATCAATTCGGCATTTAATCTCCTTCAAAGTAGTTCCCTCCTGAAGCTTCGCTCTTTATCCAATGTCATTTTTCCTTGATGGAAGTATTCCTAGAACCCCTTTTATGGGGGGCTGGGGGATAGCGAACAGCTGTCTCGTCGCATTATTTTGGATTTCGTTAACGTTTTGAAATCTTGTTCCTTTCAAATGGGAATTTATTTTTGAAAAGGAAATAGTCGAAAAGGGTGGGATCTAGAAAACATGGTGGTTGTTGGACCTTGGGAAAGCCATGGTCATTGATGGAATTTTTGTGGTGTGGTGAGACGACTACACTCTACACACTTTCCTTCCAAACACTGCTATAAACATCATAAGTGAGTGAGAACGTTATAATTTAGTGTGCATGTGCGGAAGAGATCAAGATCAGTCTGTGTCAAGCGGCTTCGCATATGCCGTAACAGTTATGCCGCAAATATTCGAGGTGAAATGATCTGGGTATTGCGTATCAAGGGATCCATACATGTTAAATTAATGCCATATTAAAAAATGAAGATATATTAAAATGATGATTGAGTAATGTTTTAACTTCTCGACTATTTCATGTGTCTTTTTTTATTACAAAACAAAACGATAAAAGACAAGAAATAAAACAATAAATGACAAAAAACAAATAATAAAGTAATTTTTTGTCTTTATTATTTGTTTTTTCCTCAAAAACAAGCGAACAGACGACAATAAAAAAGCAAAAACAAAACCGACATGAACAAAAATATGGGTGAAAAAATTAAAAAAACAAAAACAAAAACAAACAGCAAAAACAAAAAAAGAACTCTTACTCACACACATGTTCAATATTCGAAGTTCCCGAATGAAACCTTAAGATGGCCGGGCGTTATAATACTCAAAACATTGAGAATAGAACAACTAAATAAATGATAATAATAATTCCTTATTTTTTAAAACAATCATCTGAAGTTCTTGTCTTAGCAGTTATCAAAGAGTAGAAGAAAAAATAGATAAACTCCGCATACGCTTTGGAATTTTCAGCTAATGCATTCCTATTGATATTTTCTAAGCTTAGTACTGTATAATCAAACATTGTAGAAAGACTGTGCTGGGCCAGCTCTTCAGGTTGAAAGAAGCTGTATGTATTGAAAATGGACATTATAAATATTTGGTCCCAAACACTGACTTCTCAAACTAGAAAGAAAGCCGCAACTATTTCAGTCACCTGACAAGGCCAATATTTGTCCCTTTTTTTACTTATCCTTTGTAACAGAAGAGAGTTAGTAGCGAAGATCTATTCTATGAACGGGAAACAATGTTTTGGCTTTTCCCAAAATGAGGACTCTGAACTGGAGTTTCTTTTTATATTAGAGAAATGTAGATTTTCCGAAGGGAAACGATACCATGTGCTTGTAAGCAGCTGGGGGGGGGGGACAAATTTAGCCTCAGCCTGGAAAATTTAGCCAAGGCTAAAAGAAAGGAATATCATGTGGTGGCTGCTGCGAACTAACTGAATTTGACTGCTACTTTCGGTAATGTATGAAATGACGTCACTAAGCTGTCCGTCGCGCGACTCATGTAACTTATCTCCATCAAAGGAAGAAAACGCCTTCTGTATCTCTACACATCCAATTATTTATGTTATTATCTAAATTTATTTGCGTTTTCAGTTTTACGATTTTAGTTTGATAGTATCAGATACGATTTGCTTCCTGAGGAAAGATGAGGTTTTAAAATTTTATTTAAATTATTTTATATTTAGAGCCTAACTTGCGAAATACACAGATCGTGTAATTTCCTAGTCTCCTACGAAGAGAGATTAAGTTTTTAGTGAACACTAAACATTATGAATGATTTGAATTGCTCTTCAAAAAAATATGAAAAGGAAAAAAACATAGATGCAAAGAAATTAAAAAGATCACTCACTTCCGTGGCTGTACCAAATGGTCCGTCGACTGCCATACTGTAATAAAATAAATAAAAAAAATATATTAAAAAGAAATGATCGACTCGGTTGAATTGTAAACATAGCGTGGAAGCAGTAACGAATAGATACATAAAATAAATCCGCTTGACTTCTTCAGATCAAGGCTCAATTTTTATCTTCTCTCCTTGTTCTGACAATCTCCACTTCTTACCACTTTCTCTTCCTTTGATATCATACAACGCATTCATGATCATCATCATTTCGACTGTAACCCTCTACCTTGAGTTATTCTCGAGACTTGTGTGAAATTTAGTAAAAAAAGTAGATTAAAATTATTACAGTGCACACATATTTCACTGATGATTGAAACGTATATCGCAAAAGGCCCTGAAAGGTCCCTTTGAAAAGAAAATATATGCAAGGGAGGGAGAAAGTAAAGATCTTAAAGGGATTAAACGAAGTGGCAATGAGGCAAGATTATTTATATTATTTACTTTTCTAAGTTTGTGAATACGGTAAGCTTTCCTTTTTGCATTATATATGAAATATATTGGATATTGGAGAAGTTTAAACATAATTGCAATCTATTTCTTTTCGCCACGTAAATATTGAAGGCTACATATTCAAAAGGCTCTTAAATAATTATTCCACAAAACTATTGATGTCACAATGTGGGGTCATTAAAAACAATAGATAATAATGATACAAAAATTAAAACAAAAGCGATTAAAGCAAAACAAATTAACAAAAAAATCCTTGCGTTTTTTTACGTCGTGTGGTAAGAAGTGATCAATGATACGCAAATGAGAGCGTCACGGGAAATGAATGAGGTGGGGGGGGTATCACTCTTGAGTAATTGTTGTTGACCTACGTAGGGGCATTACGCACACACATCAGTCATGGCTCGAGCAGCAGCGGGGAAACATGGCACTGTCGAAACAGCTCATTCGGGATGTCCGTAGTATTAAGTTGCCGAATACGTCAAAGCCTTTGGGGATAACGCACCGTCAGGCATTGGTTCCAGAAATTCATGTTGGGGGATTTGAAAACTTGAGAAGAAAATTAAAACCGAATTGAATTGCAAGATTATGTTTCATAATAATAAAATGAAATACCGAACAGTTCCAAGGAGAGTGGAACCGAAATTTAACTCGACGGAATTCAGAAAAAAAATCAGCAAAACAAAGACAACCCGTCCTTCCCCATTTCCCGCCGATAATACAGTGACAATCAATGTCTGGGTCCCGGAAAAAAAAAACAAAAAAAAAACGTGGGTGGTCACCGAAATAACGTCTAAAATTGTTCTAGACAAAGACTCAGGAAAAAACATCTGTTTTGAATCGGTCACCCAGAAGAAAAATATCCCTTAAAAATTAGAGATTAGTGCCTAAGATTGGGGACGGGTTGGTTCATATTAATTTCTGTGTCATTCGTCAAAATTTTTATTGCCGACATTTCGGATTCGTTCGGATATAAGTGATAAAGAAAAATTAATTACTATCCCTCGAGTGACCATAGGCAACCGGTTGCCGGTTGTGTGGCCTGGTCGATGGAGAAGTCACCTAAAAATAATCAGCGTGAGACAACTTGATAAAAAGAAAATTAATGACTGGAAATTCCCTTTACGCCGAGTTTTGATGGTGAGAAATTTAGAGAAGGAAGAAAGAGATTAGCACGGCCTATATAGAGCGATGGTGCAAGATGAGACATGAAGAGAGTTGGAGTTAAGGGGCGGCTTAATTCCTCTGACCGCTCTCAAAAGGGGGCTGGATAAGCCTTCAATTTGGAAAAGTTTACACGAGTAAACATATTTTGAAAATATGGGATTTTAGAAAAAGTTTGGTGCTAAGAGTGGAAGACAACCGAACCCAAGACTCTTGTCAAGCACGAACTTTCGGGACGCAGGGTTGAATACAAGCTGGAGGCTTGGGCAACTTGGAAAGTCCTCACATTACTGCTACTGGAATCTACATCATTCACTGAGACCTTCTGACCAAGACCATGTGCCAGCCTCGAGGACCAGAACTTAGAAATTTAAATGACTATTAATATAGGCTGTAGACTCCAAAAGGCGATCCCAGTGTAATTTGATTATAACAGTAAGTGAGAAGTGTCGCTGTATACTACAAATCATCTGTTATATTTTTAACCAGAGTTAATCCAAAGAATCCATCGACTTGTCCTTCACTTTAGTTTATTTCATCAGCGATTCCTCACCCTCTGAGATCAAAAACACAATGTGGCAGAGGAATGAAGGATCTTTAAGGAAACAAATGCTATCTAGATCGAGTAGAACCGTGAAACATGAAATCAACGACAAATCAGCAACGCGTTAAGCAATGAGGAGTCAGCTCGAGGGTAATCATGGTGGTCTGAAGATCAACACGGTGGGAGGTAGGGTTACACATATAACTAATAAAAACATTAAACGGTAGAAAAAATTATTTCCAGAAATTTCATAAAATTAAATAAGTGTATGAGGTAGATATGTAAAAAAAATTACGAAGATTTTCTAAAAATAAGTCGTTTCTTAAATAATTTAATTCATTTGAGAATAAGTTTTATTAAAATCCTACACTTATTTGACTTTTGGAAGAATTTCTATAATGTATCAAAAATGTAATTTAGTAATAAAAAATCCTTTGGTCTTTCCTCTTAATAATAACAGATTTAGATAATAAAAATTTGTTTTACTAAGTTTGAGGCATTTTTTCATCGTGTATGGTATTTTAAGCAAATATTTGGAGGTGCATATATATATATATATATATATATATATATATATATATATATATATATATATACGCAATCGTCAGGACTCGAGTCTGATGATTGCGTCTAGGATGAAACAGCCTGTCGCCTCTGAGTGTTAACTTCAATGTTCATTTTTTATTTATATTTACATACTCTCTATTTCTGATACTGAGCACTTTATCCCATAAATATAGCACACTTAAAAGTAGATTTCATCATAAATATATATGTGTGTGTGTGTGTGTGTGTGTGTGTGTGTGTGTGGTGCGATGGGTAAATTTTCGCCATTTTATATTTTTAATTTCGTGCTGTTTTTGAATTTGTCGACTGCACCATATAATAGGGTCAGTTGGGTACCGTCTGTAAGAAAAAGAGCACCATGATGCAATTCACTCCGTCAGAAATTTGGTAATGGCATGCTTGGCATTCACACCGGAAGCTCCAATACAAACATTTCAGAGTGTTTGGGTGTCAATCTGAGAACATTACAGAGAATTCGGAATAAGTTGGACGAGTCTAATGGTGATTACGAAGGTGTTTGGAGTGATCACTAGTGATGACGACGTTATGCCTCTATTCATCTTCCCACAGGGCCTCAGTATCAGCACGTAGGTCTACATCGAGTGCGTTGAGGAGGTAGTGCTTCCCTGGGTCATGATGCTGGCTGCGGGAAGACCCTATGTCTGGCAACAGGACTCTGCACCATGCCACACAAGCAGAAGAACCCAGTCATAGCTATCAGACAATTTCTTTAACCATCTCACCCCATACATCTTGCAAAAACCTTGATTATTATGCATGGGGCGCATTTGAACGAGAGACCAACAAAATTCCTTGTTACACCAAAGAAGAACTGGAGTCAAAGATTATGGCAGCATTCACCAACTTAAATAAGGAGACCGCCCAGAAGAGTTGTAGGAAAATCCGAAGTCGTCTGGAGGCCATGGTCGATTTTATTGAATAAATTTACTCTTTATTATTTCAAAAAATTTGGTGCAATTTTGGAAAATATATCTGTTAAAATAAGTGTTATTTAGACGATAATTTATCCATCGCACATTGTATATATATATATATATATATATATATATATATATATATATATATATATATATATTGTATAAAAATGATAATTGGAAAATTATCAAGCCAAAATTGAAGCGAAATGTTTTTGTTTTCATAGTTACATTAAACCAAAAATTTAAAAAGAGAGAGACGCTTTTGTGTAAGCCTCTTTCTGGCTAATGTTACCTTCCTTGATACTAAGAGTTTTTTTTTCCATGTCGACAATATAGTAAAATTCTCGGGACAAAAAAAAATGGAAACAAAAAAAAAACTCTTAGTATTCTGTTCTTGGAATTTTACTATATATCATCATTTGCTCTGTTTTTACATTGTTTGAATTTATATTCTCTTTATTTGCGGATTATCAAATAACATTATTATCTATATATATGTATGTATATATATATATATATATATATATATATATATATATATATATATATATATTACAATGAATTAGTCATACAAAAAGATTTATAAGCTGTATAAGGTCTTTCTTTAATACGTAAGTACAAATTTTTAAAAACAAGGATCATAACATTCATCGAGTGATTTGTAGGTTAATGCACCTTTAAAATTTTGTTAGTGAAGGGATTTCGCCATTTTATATCATTAACTTTACTAATCTACTTTTTGTATGAATGATTCATTGTAATATAAATTGAACTGCACCACACACACACACACACACACACATATATATATATATATATATATATATAACTAGAGTTAATCATCTGTTCATTAGCTAAAATTACATTTAGAGAAAGGGAACGCATTTTCCTATTATAGATATATTCTGGCCAATAAGATAAGTTTCAAAATGAAATGTTTTTCACTACCCTATCCGACAATTCATTTTGCTTTATTTAATTCACACTCGAGTAAAACACTTATGGTCATTTGCTTCTTAGCCATAATTCCAGGTCATTAAAGTATTTAGGTACTTAATGTGGGTAGAAGAGTTCACCTAGTACATGTGGTATTTCATCCACTGTGACATTAGGGACCAATATGCAGATGACACAGTACTGATAACAGACACGGTAAAGAAATTACAAAACCTCCTACGGAAGGTTACGAAGGAGAGCGAAAAGAAGGGACTAAGTATAAGCTCCAAGAAGACAGAATGCATGGTCATCAATAAAAGGATGAGCCAGAAATGCGATTTACAGGCCGGGAACACCAAAATCAAGCGGAAATTTAAACATCTGGGAAGTAACAGAGGACAATAAGTGTGACGCTGAGATCCGGAGACGTACTGGGACAGACAAGAGTATTACGGGACATCTGTCCTTCTTTACGGCAGCGAATGTTGGACCGTCTCCTCAAAGATGAAGAGACTCGAGGCAACGTAGATGTCGTTCTACAGAAGGATGCTAAGGATATCATAGACGGAGCGTGTGAGAAACGATGAAGTCTTGGGGAGGATGCAAACAAGGGGGAGTCTTATACTCAAAACCAGGAAGAGGCAGCTGAGGTTTTTGGACACGTAATGAGAAAGGAGGGCCTGAAAAATCTGATACTCACAAGTCGAATAGAAGGAAAGAGAGACAAAGGAAAGCAACACATGATCTACCTGGTGGGCTTATCCAAGTGCATAACAGAACCTGGTTTGGGGGAGGTGGTAGAAGGACGAAACTTATTGAGAGCCACAAAGGATAGGGGGAAGTGGAGAGCTATGATCCCCTACGTCCTGAAAGGACACGGCACATAAAAAGAAAAGAAAAAGTGATAAATTTAAAACTTGTATCTTACATTGGAAGTTGACGTGGTGTTGGCGTGATGTTATCATCTACAAAGCAGGCTTTTGCTAAGGCATTTGTCCATTCACCGACACGACGAATATGAACAGATATGTAGTCATCGCCGGGTGCCTATGAAATAAAAAGATTTTACATAAAGAGTGTTATAGAACCAATTCTTCGTCGTCTGGCAGTGCTATATCGTCAGTCTTGTACAATAAACATTGAGGAGTGATTCTGTATGGTCAGATCATTTTATTTTTCACAAGATGAAATAATAAATATAATAAAATAATACAGTGTAACCCGGATATAAAGATTTTCTCTGGAAAGCCCCAGTATATAAAATAGACCAGAGATTTTAAGAGATTTTCTGGTCCCAAATTAGAGCCTGTGTTAATGTATATAAAATAGACCAAACCCGGATATAAGAGAAACCCGGATATAAGAGAGATTTTCTCTGGTCCCAAATTAGAGCCTGTGTTAATGTATATAAAATAGACCAAACCCGGATATAAGAGAAACCCGGATATAAGAGATTTTCTCTGGTCCCAAATTAGAGCCTGTGTTAATGTATATAAAATAGACCAAACCCGGATATAAGAGAAACCCGGATATAAGAGAGATTTTCTCTGGTCCCAAATTAGAGCCTGTGTTAATGTATATAAAATAGACCAAACCCGGCTATAAGAGAAACCCGGATATAAGAGAGATTTTCTCTGGTCCCAAATTAGAGCCTGTGTTAATGTATATAAAATAGACCAAACCCGGATATAAGAGAAACCCGGATATAAGAGAGATTTTATCTGGTCCCAAATTAGAGCCTGTGTTAATGTATATAAAATAGACCTAACCCGGATATAAGAGACTTCTTCTCCGGTCCCGCCAACTCTCTTATATCCGGGTTACACTGTAATAACAAATAAGATGAAGCAATTAAATTGAGAAAAAATCTAAAACATTTTAGCTGATGTCAGATTTACTGAGTATGAAATTGTTTATCATAATCATGATCATTCCGGAAATTGATAGATTTGAATATGAATTTGAGTCTCACTGGTTGCCCCTAGATTTGTGGTCTTATACCGGACTAAATTAGCAGGCATCCGTCAGTCTCAGGAGACAGTGGTATCGACTAGGTTGGTAGCTAATCCCTGTCGCAGACGAAAGGAATTTGTTTTTCTTCAACACCCGTAGTGCCATTCTGTGATTTATATTGTATCTATGCTGAGGCAAATTTAGTTACTGCCTATTATTATTGTTGTGGTGTCTTCCCTCTTAAGAGTCTATGTTAGACTCTTCCGCCTACTATATGATTAGTTGGAGAGAAGGCTTCGGGGAACAGTGCCACACTGTTCATTGCTGTCGAACTCTCTGCCTTGAGCACAGAGGAACCCGAACGAGGCTTTGTGAAAGGGCAAAGTTTCGTCCGGAGAGGTAGATAGGCCCTGAACCCGTTTATACGGGTTCGAAAGGAATATTTTTAGCCGAGCCTACGGGCTCGGAGAACCCATGATAAACTCGGTCTTGTGCCACATACGACCCACGTGTGTGTGTGTGTGGGGGGCTCTTAAATATAACAGTGCCACACTGTTCATTACTGTCGAACACTTTGCCTTGAGCAGAGAGGAACCCGGACAAGGCTTTGCCGAAGGGCAAAGTTTCGTCCGGGGAGGTAGACAATCCCTGAACCCGTTTATGCGGGTTCTAAGGGAATATTTTTTGGCGAGACTATGGGCTTGGAGAACCCACGATAAACTCAGCCTTGTGCCACATACATCCCTCGTGGGGGTGCTGTTAAATATAACAGTGAACACTGAATATATTAAGCGCTAGTTCATTCGATACACACTCACTAGTCGTGTAATACTCTTCTGGTGTACTTACTGTTTAATATACGATATATCTGCAAACCTGATTTTTGTTATTACTTAACCATTTACTTGGTCACAACAATTATTTAATCATTTCATCCCAAACAATGCAATAAAACCACTAATACGGAATTACTGAATGTGAAAGAATATGAGATAAAAAAGAAAACATTATTAAGAAGAGAGAACAATAAACGAACAGGAAATAAGACGACACAAATTAAAACGATTGACATTGCATTTAAAATTTTGAAGATCAAAGCTAACTGGAAAGGAAAAGGCTGGATGATAGTTCATCAAGTGAGAAGTGCTCAAGAAGAAACTGTTAGCATAGAACTTACGGTTACATCTAGCCATTTCAACTGTAAAATGATGAGACCTAGCTGCCAATCTAGGTAGTCAGTTATGTGCCATGTGTGATACACGCTTAGGCGGTCTTTCGATACACGACTGACGAGGCAGATTTTTCCCGCAGTAGGTTGCCATTTTTTTCTGCTTAGGCCAGTTGCCATCCAAGGTTATAGAACCCGGTCTGTCCTGCTATTTACCCATAGCTAGGGGGGGGGGAGAAGAAGAGGATTCATACCTTTCCCAATGGTATTAGCACGGAAGTGAATGTAATGGATTCGACTGAAATTCGAACTCGGCTCACCGATTCCTTAATCCGATTCGCTATCCATTACTCTGCCGAAAGTTGCGGTATCAAAGAGGAAAGCTCATCAGAACAATTACCATGAAAATATTTATAGAAAAGGCACGGAAAAGCTACGTCACCTTGGTGGGAAGTGTCTGAAGCCGAAATGCCAGGTTATGACCGATAAAATTGCAGATTATTCTTTGTATTTTATCAAGAATATATAAATACATAGCAGAAGCACCATGCCAGATTTGACTGTAATATTCGATGCATAGACGAATGGTAGACTTATAAAGGTGTAAGATAGAGTCTGACAAGAGAAATTGTCTAGCACGATACAAGGAACCAAATTTTGAGAGAGTGCCTGATCAACACCTGAGAGTAACGCATGGCTTGTGACTTGTTTCTAGTACAAGGATCGACGGACTCCGAACAGGTCAATTCATGACAGGGCATAATATTAGAAATCAACACATTGACAAATCGACCAGAGTGAAATTCGAACCTGAATCTGGTAGTCACAATACTAACGCCCTAACCACTCGACTACGCGCTCAACAAACTGCGCTTCATAAATATGCTAAAGAATATAGAAATGCGATTTAAGTAAGCAGATAGATAAAATATAAACTTATTTAGAAGTTGTTTTTATTGAAACAAATATCCGAAAATCACTAAAAAACATCTTGAGTTCCATATGTTTATTCCAATGACACAATGGAAAATTGTTATTTAACTGCCAGTCTTAACATGATAAATCCAATGTGGCAATCAATGAAGATCACACTAACACGACGTTCAGTGTGTGTCTCATTCGAGATCATGCCAGAATAAAATTTTCCCCCAGTAGATCAGTGGTTCCCAACCGATTTTGGGTCATGCCCCACTTTGGTATTTCTAAAATTCTGCTGACCCCCTGTAATATTCAAAATTTTACTGCAATTCAGGTAAAGGAAGCTTAAAAGACCATTAACTTGGTCTCTAAACAAGCCTCCAAAGACCATGGCGTCTATGAAATGGAAAAATTTAAAAAAAACAAGAAGACAGTTAAATTTATATAGTTTCAAAACATCTAATAGAGAACTGAAAGGTAGAAATATAAAATATTTGAATGAAAGATTTATTTTGTAATATACTTTGATTATTTTAATCATGAAATAATAATGCAAATGAAATTTGATATTTAGCATAGTAAGTCGAAGGGTGCACATCCTACACATGTCCCACCAAAGTATTACCATGCCCGACCGGCGAGACATGCGCCCCTGTTGGCAATCATTTCACTAGATCATCAAGACGGTCAGATGCAGGTTTAACATTGAGGTAACCCCCCAAACACCGTGTGCAGAATTACGTAACCTCACAACCGCACCTGGAATTGCAAGCATAGGAGAGGGATAAGGAGACAGGGGGCAGAAAATCACATTATAACAGGTTATATAAACACTAACTCCAGAGAAGTGTTTAGGAGTCTCTTTGACATCGCAGACGAGAATGTAAGAACCACGTCCACAAGTGATATTCGGGGACTGATTATATATATATATATATATATATATATATATATATATATATAAGAGAGAGAGAGAGAGAGTGATTGACGAATTACTGGCATGAAATAATATCTCATGTTAACAATGAGAGATGAAGTTGTATTTTTATTATACGGCACAGCGACTTCGTTACACGCAGAAATAATGGCTCTCTACGCTAGAAGAGGCCAATAGGAAAAAAATAAAAATAAAATGTACGTTTGAAAAAAGAAAATCCATTTTGAAAGATACAATTAATGACCGATAGAAAAATAGATTTAAAAAAATGAAAATTCATCATACTCACAGATGTCAAGGTGAAGGGATGCCATTCTAGTCGCGAAATACGAGGGCACTGTAGAAATACGTATTGACCTGGTTCTATCTTGAACCCGCCAGCGCGTTTTAATTGCAGTTGGATTGTGTTGCAGGGGTGCTTCACGACCTGTAGTTACGCAAAACGAACAAATATATTATATACTTATATACTTGTACTGGATATTTATCAAGATTGACAACGAGTGTTCCCATATTTAAATTTATTAATGCTTGGACGTTTGTTATAAAGGAGTGATTTTGCCCAAATGCTCATTCATCTACTTCCTTATCAACGATCGTGACATGCCAGAAACAAGACATCTTTTGTCAAGATATTTGGTGATGAGTTACAGGTTCCATTTTCTATGGAATCGGGCATTTTGGCGCATGCATACGAAAGCGAGAGAGGGAAGTATAGAAATATAACGATGTGGGGAGAAGAAGAGAAATAAGGAGAGACGTATAGGGATGAGGTAGAGAGATAAGGGGAGGAGGGAAGAGATAAAGAGAGAATGATGGGGAGAGATAAGGAGGGACGGAGATAGAGTGGTAAAGAGGGAGGGGAGAAAGGTGACTGTTGTGGAGTGATTTCGCAGTGGAGGCTTGTCTTGGTACTAAGTTGGTCCTAAAATAGGTTCGACGTACAAAACGTTAGGAACTTGATATAATAGGTATAACGCAGAGTAATCTAGTTGTGGTCGCTGATACTTTAGTATCCGACTAACTGTCGTCCGACATCGACTGACTGAACGACGATATTCAGTCACCCCCCACCACGAGGGCGTCATGTGGCACAAGGCCTTTTTAACGTGGGATCTTCGAGCCCGTGGGCTCGGCCAAAAATATGCCCATTGAACCCGTATAAACGGGTTCAGGGTCGGTTTACCTCCCCAAAAGAGAATCCGCCCTGCGGCGTAGCCTCCTTCAGGTTCCTTCCCGCCCAAAGGCAGAGAGTTCAACCGATCAGCCAGTCGACTGACTGACCGACTCCCACGTTACTCTTACTACTCCTACTTATTATAGGTGGGAGAGTCTATTAACTATAGAATAGGTGTGTTTCACTATAATAGTAACAAAGAGAGATAGTGTGGGAGAAGAGGCAGGGTGGGTTACGGTGAGTTGGAGGGAGATAAAGAGAGAGGGAGAGAGTCGTAGAGTAAAGTGTGTGAAAACGAAAAAAGATCTTCGCTTTTCAAACACTTTACCCAGTTTACAATATTGGCGACTGGGCGGGAAGGATAGAGATAATGAGACAGGGAAGGAGGGATATAGATAAGGAGACAGGGAAGGAGGGATACAGATAAGGAGACAGAGAAGGAGGGATATAGATAAGGAGACAGGGAAGGAGGGATACAGATAAGGAGACAGGGAAGGAGGGATAGAGATAAGGAGACAGGGAAGGAGGGATACAGATAAGGAGACAGGGAAGGAGGGATATAGATAAGGAGACAGGGAAGGGGGGATATAGATAAGGAGACATGGAAGGGGGGATACAGATAACGAGACAGGGAAGGAGGGATATAGATAAGGAGACAGGGAAGGGGGGATATAGATAAGGAGACAGGGAAGGGGGGATATAGATAAGGAGACAGGGAATGAGAGATAGAGATAAGAAGACAGGGAAGGTGGGATAGAGTTAAGAAGATAGGGAATGGGGGATAGAGATAAGAAGAAAGAGCAGGGGGATATAGAAAGGGAGAGAGTGGTATAAGGAGATATGGACCAAAATCATACTACTTATTCTGTCATATCTGAAGTACCGTAATTTCTGCTGTTTTTATTTAAGTATTCTTTGTACATCATATTTTTGAAACACCAAAATGTAATAATTTCATCTAAGCTTGTCACAAATGTAATCATTATAGGTGAACTTCTTGCTGACGATTGTTACCAAAACGCCATCTATCTGGAGGAAAGCATACCAATCTCTGAATAAATTGACTATGGTTGTTGATTAATGCCAAACAATGGACGCCAAAATGTCTTCGACAGAGATTTGTAACGGTGAAAAGTATTTCTTTTCAGCAAAAAATTCATGACACATTTCCGTTTGGATATATTTTTCAATTTGAATAATTTTTAAACAAATTTAAATAAAAAAAAAATACAAAGTACATGTTGACAAAACATTCTTTGATAGAATTGTTCAAAAGTTAAGCTATTTAAATGTTTCTTAAATGCTAAAAAAATTTGACATTTGAAAAAAACGAAACTTGTGTGATTTGGTGAATAGTAACTTCCATAATCTTTCGATTTCAAAACATAAATGAACACGGATCAAATATTGATTAAAATTCGCAAAAGAGATGGAGGGAGGGAGTGAGATAAGGAGGCGGAGAGGGAGGGAGATAAGGAGGCAGGGCGGGAGTAAGATTAGGAGGCGGAGAGGGAGGGAGAGAAATAAGGAAGGGAGAGAGAGAGTGAGATAAGGAGGCAGAGAGAGAGAGAGAGAGTGGGAGGGAGATAAGGAGGCGGTTGAGAGAAGGAGTGAGATAAGGAGGCGGAGAGGGGGAGTGAGATAAGGAAGGAGAGAGAGAGAGGGAGTGAGATAAGGAGGCAGAGAGAGAGGGAGGGAGTGAGATAAGGAGGCGGTTTAGAGAAGGAGTGAGATAAGGAGGCGGAGAGGGAGGAGTGAGATAAGGAAGCAGAGAGGGAGGGTGGGAGATAAGGAGGGAGGGTGGGAGATAAGGAGGCAGAGAGGGAGGGAGTGGGATACGGAGGCAGAGAGGGCGGGAGTGAGATAAGGAGATAGAGTAAAAATAAACTTTTTGATTTATGACTTATCACTAAAGATGCAAAATCCACTGTTAGTAGCATTTACTTTTTTTAAAAAAGTGCTCAATACAAAGTAGAGCAATATATTATTATAAGAGATTATAATAAAACCATGTTGAAATCACTACACAAAATCTTTCATGTTTCAATACTTTGATTGTACTTCTTCAGGAGATGAGAAGTAACTGGGGATTAAAGGATTTTAAAGAAAATTTAAAAACAAAATCTTACCTCTTTCCCGAATGTTAAAGGTAGGAGTCATAAGGTAAGAATTAAAAATAGACTTGTGGGTATGTCTTGAGTAACCAATTAAATGTCAGATTTACGCTAAATAGAAAAGTAAGCTCAGAGGGTGGAGATGGCGGAGTTATTTTTTCATGCTACGAACATATAACATGCTATAATCTATATTGTTAAAGCAAGCAGTGTGAAAGGACGTGAAAGGGTCTTACTTGTAATATTTCCCGAAAGAAAAAGGGCCAGACCAGTGATGTCCTTTGTGTTCATTGTTGGGACCATGTAGTTTCCATCAGTTCTCCTAACCGCTGCAGGCAATCATGTCTTGCTTCATCGCGGATATATTCATCAACTGGGGTTCGTCAGCCAATTAGCTGACGACACAAACCGGCTGTCATGCGATCCACGGGAATGCATTCTAACAAAAGGGAGATAATTTCCCTCTGCATCACGACAGGCCCATTGAGAGATGACGTGGAACATGAATGCGTTTGAGCACTACGAGATTTAATAGCCGGAATCAATCAGTAAAGTTTGCATTGATCTTTAGATTTACTTTAACCTGATTTTTGATGCCTAAATGCATTTAAATTTTGCATATAATAGCAGCATTCAGATAAGGATTAACTCTTGAGTTGAAGAGTTTAGAATTACAGTCTGTTCTGTAAAGTAACAGTTCTTGGGGAATACTTTTTCCTTACTTTTGGAATACGGCGGATTGATTGATGGATTTATTTTTTCTTTACGGTTTATCAACCTTATTTTGCCCAAATTCTTACTCCTCCATCACCTCATGTCAGAAATAAATCATCTTTTAACAAGATATCTGACGATGTTACAATCTGTTTTCTACGCAATCAGGCATTTTGGTGTATACATATGGGAGAGTAAGAGGGTAGTAGGGACAGAAAAATAAGGAAGGAGATAAGGGAAAGAGATAAGGAGGGAAAAGGAGTGGGTGAGAGAGATGATACGGTAGAGATAATTTGGGAGGGAGAGGGATAAGGAGTGAGATAAATAAGGAGTGGAGAAGAGTGGGCAGAGAGAGAGATAGAGAGGGCGAGGAGAGAGAAAAAAGGAGAAAGGGAGAGAAAGAAAGCGGGAAAGAAATAAGGAGACAGATTTTGAAAGTTATTTAAAGTTAGAAAATACTTTAGATTCTAAGAATTTTTTTGAGATTATAATTATTTACTGATACGTCCTACTAATTAACCCATAGCTGGGGCGGGAAAGGGTAGATTTATACCTTTCCCAAGGGTATTTTTTGCGTGTCAATCTAACGAACCCGACTGGAAGTGAATCTCGGCTTTCCGATTTCCAATTCCGAGACATTATCCATTACACCGTTCGCAGATCCAAGCTTACAGCAGTTGGAAGGAATAGGGACGAAATAAGAATGATTCAGCTCCTTGGACGTGGCATTGCGTATCATAGCTGTAAAGTCTGAATTGGGGGAAATAACGAATGGAGCCCATCTGAACATTAGCCATAGAAATAGGTAAAGGCCTGTGACATTGCGCCTACGTGGAAAGAGGTTGTAGAGTAGGAAAATAGTGAGGATTGTTCAGTTCCATCCCAGATACTCAGTTGGTATTTTCACCTTTTTTAATATTGTGCCCATAAATATAGTCTTTTTTTTTTCAATGCGTAATTAATTTAACCATGTATTCTCACCAATTTTTATAGGTGTCGGCTGAAGATAATAATCTCCCATTCCAATTGCATATTTCAAATCATGCATGACTGAGCTTACATGCATTCTATATTCATATGGTCTTGTTAACAAGAAAATCTATTAAAATTACAAATTAAATTATTCATTAATTTATTCATTTTTTTTATTAATATACAATTATTTAAAATTTCACCAAGACTAAAAGAAATTGAAACATTTAAAATTTTAGAAAATTTAGTTGAAATTTAATATATATATATATATATATATATATATATATATATATATATGTGCTCGTCCTTCCCTTCGTTACTTCGCACGACCTTTACGCCCCGTCAATATCTCATAAATAATACAGGCCAACACGATTTTTGGTGCCAAGAAACAAAACACCTTTAACTAGCTAATTTGATGGTGCTGATTCCGAAAATGACCTTAGTTATTCATGGTTAGTTACCATTTCTGATGTACTGAAATTGCACATTTTTAGAAAAAAGATAAATTTACGATCTTGGCTGATCGCAAAATATAGTTAATATATGTCGTAGAAACCCATCAATTTTCAGGTAGGCCGAGCAATTTATGTTGGCCACCTGAAAAAAACTATATTTATAAGAAAAAAGTGTTTTTTAGTCAAAAATCTAAAAATAGAATTACCGAATTTTTCCAATTTATCGCCAAAATTCAAATTAACTGATAAATTTTATCAGTAATACACTTTAGTAAACCTGATAATGAAGGTGACATTAAAAAAAGGAACACTATAATCTTCTGTTTGATGTTCATAAATTTATCCCTTCACTACAGAAGCAAATCAATCACATTGAGAGCATTTTGTTTTCGCAGTTGAAAAGAAACTCCAACTAAAGACATCCCAATTGAATGCACCTATTCCATTGTACATGATACTGCTGGAGTATCAAAAGGGGTCTTAAACACATTGAACATGACAGACAACGAAGAAAGAGAAAATATTTACCATAGTTCTTATGTTCACGTAGGTTTTATTTCTGCTTTTATTTATTAAATGATTTGAAGAAAATACTTGTTGGTCTTGGTATATTCAATCGTGTTATTTTTAAAGACTTAAGGTTGATTGTTGTTGCAAAAATAGTATTTCTGAATAAGCAGACCAATATTTGTTGGTTTAAATACGAATTGAGAGGTTTCTATGATTTATTTTGAGAAATATCGCCATCGGTCAATATATATATACAGAAAACAAATGAAAAAAAAATGCTTTTTTTTGTAAAAATGAGGCATTTCTGTACAGCAAAAACGGTAGCAAACCAAGAAAAAGTAAGGTCATTTTCAGATTCAGCGCCCTCAAATTATCTAAAAAAGATTTTTGGTGTCTCGACAGCATTTCACTGTTGAACAGTATAATGGACTATTAAGTTTTGATTGCGCAGAAAGAGAGGAAAAGACACTACTTGGTTTCAGTGAGAAAATAAGATGGAAGAAATAAAAAAGGGAAGATAGAAGTGGTGGAACAGAATCAGATTAAACTGATACTACACTTTGATCTTAGCCAAAAGACGGAGAAACAGTTGTGCTTTCTTGCTGTTCTATGCTGGCAGGATGTAGCCCAATGTCAGTTTAATGTGCACCCGGCCAGGTCCAAAAACAACCAAGCCCGTCGATTGCTCTGGCATCGGTATTACTACCGTTCACCTCCTCTTTAGTGCAATGGGGTGAGGGTATCAGTTGCGTTGTGACCGAAGATAGAGTCACAACTGAGAAATGAAATATAGTTTATCCATCCGAAAGTGCAATGGGAGGGCGCGTTCCCATAAATAAAATATCATCGTCTGCTGAATTATTTTAAAATTATCATTAAGAGAAATGTTTTTAAGATGGGGGTTTGGCTAGGATATATCAAAACGTTAGTGCGAATATATATATATATATATATTTTACATACTAGAACTTTACAAAATAATTTAAAGAATAAAAGTTTAAAAGATATGAAGCAAAATATTTTACTTGTTAAAATTATTATTATTTAAATTTTTTGACTGAGTGTTTATTTCTTTTATTCCAGTGGCGTTTTCTCATCTAGAAAAAAATCAGAGAATTATTAACTTTTTTTTTTATTCATGTTCAGGCAGAATTTTAGCAAGATTTAATTTTAGCGAGATTTTATTTTAACGGGATTTAATTTTTATTTCCCTTAAATAAGAAAGAAAACTTTAGTCCGTGATGCAATAAGTTTAAATTCCAAAAATTAACTGAATTTATCGGCCTCACAAATTCTACTGGCATTTTTTCATTTTGTTTAAACCTAAAAAATGTTTTAAAACATATTTCTGTTTCTTTATACTGGACTTCAATAATCGGTCAATTAGGATATTCTACCCTTATTTCGAATGGCATGAATTTAAAAAAAAAACTGAATTCAATTTTAAATGATAGTTAAATGTGCTTTTAGTAACGTGTGTCAGCCTGGTACTTACCTTAGTAATAAATACTTTTTGATATCTTCGATAAAGGCGGATAAGACACTCGATAACGTAGAGAAAAAGAGGAAGAGCCACCCATTTCCAAGCCTGGAAAATAACAAATTATATCAAATTTGTAAGATTACCCTACTTGTCTGTTAAAGAACTTCTGCTAACGACAGCTAGATAACATTACCAAAAGCGGCATATAATAAAGACAGGTGCAACGTTTTATCCTTTTATCCCTTTTACCTATAATATACCTTAGGGAGAGGACGTATCTCGTCTCTCTTCTGGGTGGGTGGACCGTGTTTTTAAAAACCATATATCGCATTGAACACAAAAGTACACAGTATATATATGTAATATCAGTCCTCTTATATGGCAGGGACCGCTGGACAATCTCCCCTCAAGTGACTTGAGGCAGCGGAAATGTGGTTCTACAGGAGGATGCTGAGAATATCATGGCCTAAAATGTAAGCGACAACAAAGTTTTAGAGAGATAGAAACAAAAAGGACAATTATACTTATCATCAGAAAGGAGCAGTTGACGTTTCTAGGGAAAATGATGAGGAAAGAGGGCTTGGAGAATTTGACATTCTCAGGATATATTGAAGGCAAGCGGTACAGTGGAAAGCAGCGAATAACTTACTGAATGGGTTTATGTAAATGATTAACAGAAGAGGGATTAGGAGAAATATCAAAAAGCAAAAACTTACTAAGAGCTACAATGGACTCCCACGTTCTGAAGGGACACGGCAAATAGAATAATAATAATAATAATAATAAGTTTACTTGAATATGCACAAGTATATCAAATAATCCTACCAAACCAACAAAGAAATCTCAAAATGTAATTCTCTCGCAATCTTTCAGATGAGCTTTTCACTCACATAAATACGAAAAAGGACATCTCTCCATAGGTACCTGCATTCAACCATAGGTACCTGCATTCAACCTTTTGTATTAAATGAAATAATAAAAAAGCTGACTTTTCACACAATCACACACAATAGGCAAGGAAAGAAGTCCCTAGTATTACTTGAAAGAGCAATAACAGCTACTGGACTTGAGAAACCACACACTATAGGCAAGGAAAGAAGTCCCCAGTACTACTTGAAAGAGCAATAACAGCTACTGGACCTATTTCCCTGAAAAATTGTTTCAAGAGAAAGATTTTATAAATGCCAACCAACAGCAGCATTGAGTGTTCGGTCAATGAATGCAGAAAGTTTCCTTATAAGGAAACGGTTAACATTGCTATTATCATTAATCTATCACTAACAACCAACTGAGGAGAAAAGATAACCGTCTTATGAAACAAGGCGCTATAAGTGAAAATAAAATGGTAAGATTGTGTAGCGTCAATCTCATTTGGGAATTGCCTGCTTGCTTAGAAAAAAAACAAACAAATTACTGACTTTTATCTGAGCTCGAACACTGACTTATGGCACAAGTACGATCTACCTAATTACATGAACTATGAGTTATGATTCTACATTATGTTTAGCCTGGCATAAAGTAACATGAGGCACCCGGTGCGATACTAACTCACTTTATTAGCGAATTGGTTTGGAGAATTAAGTTGATTTTGCTATGTGCTGGCCAAAGAGCACAATTTCTCGTGTGTCTCAAGGTTGTTTTTTTAACATATGTTTGAAATTAATTTATTTGCAATAAAGTGCAAGATAGTCACTTGATTGTTTTCTTTAAGTTGATTTCACAAACCAATTCGCTAATCTAATGAGTCAGTATCTCACCGGCTGATTCATGTTAAGCATCGTTTAAGGTCAGCTGGACTGAGACTTTAAAACTATAACTTACCAAATTTAGTAAATATGTATACAATTTATAGTTATAAAAAAAATATATATATATATATATATATATATATATATATATATATATATGTATGTATATATACACTATTTACATTATTCGGACTATTGTCCTCATCTTTGTCGCCATATTTATTACAACGTTTCGGCCAGTGTACGCTGCGGCCTTCTTCAGTTGGTTGGAATATCGGACTGAACCCTTTATTTCGCTTACTGGGGTAGACTGTTCTAGTTTCTTTGAGGACACATGGCACAGTGGATATAGGTGTTAGTTAGATCCAGTGACAGGACCCAAAGGAGTGTGAGTTCAATACACGGTTAGGGCTGTGGAGAACTTAAAGAGAGGAATTAACAGGAGATAACTGATAACTGACGTCAATTAAAACATGGCACGTGGAACTAGAAAAGTCTACCCCAGTGAGCGAAATAAAGGGTTCAGTTCGATATTCCATCCACCTGAAGAAGGCCGGAGCGTACAACGGCCGAAATGTTGTAATAAACATGGCGACAAAGATGAGGACGATAGTCTTAATAATGTAAATAGGGTACATAATACCGCATCTGAGATATATAGACAGATGTACATATATATATATATATATATATATATATATATATATATATATATATATATATATATATATATAAGTAAATGCCTAAACACATGTAAACACATAAAAACATGCAAACACGTACAAAAACGTAAATCATGGCCCTTCTTACTTTAGCTGGTGTCCCACCGAAGCTGGGATACACTAAACAGTCTGGATCTTTTCCCCATTTTTCAAATTTTTCATAACACAAGTCTGGGTCATGTTCATTCACATTTGTTTGATGACGTACAACGCCCCTAGAAAAAATGATAAAGAGAGATATTTACTGAAGATTCTGGAATTAAAAACAAAATCATAAAAAAATGCTAATAAAGATATTAAAAAGTAAACACTGACAAATAGTGTGTAGTATGTGTGTCTGGGGGTTGTCGTTCACTTTTATACGCGTACTGATTATACTAGTCATGGGCAAGATGGGGCCCACTGGCCACGTGACCCGTTTCGCTATCTGAATGGTACGTCGAATTGCATGAGGAAAATAAGGTTTATTAAAATTTTGTTTATTTCGTTTCGTCCTCACTTGTTCACTCACATTTTCTCATACATAACCACATACATAGACAATTATTAAGCACGACGTTTCTTGAATTTTGTAACTTTTCGTCGAAGGTAACGTTTTCATCAGTTTAAACGATTGGTGATTTTCACTAAGGAATACCATGCGTGTAAATATCATTTGCTTTAGAAACAGGACGTTCATAATAATTTTATTTTTGTCGGGAGAAGAAATATACAGGGTTATTAAAAAAGAATGAACCGATTTCATTACGCAATATTTTAATGAGGAAAAGCAATAGAAATCTCCAGCCAAGTCACAAGTATTCGACTCAAAATCAACTTTTATTTCCTGTCTTACAAGTATTCAATGTGGCCATCACATGCAGTACGGGCAACATCAATGAGATAAGCGAATTCCTCACAGACGCGTATCAGCATATCATGATCAACTGAGTTGGTCGCTGCTGTTATTCGATTTTTAAGCCCATCGAGGTTAGTGGGTAGCGGTGGAACATAAACGCGATCTTGTACGAATTCTCACAAGAAAAATCACACATGGTGAGGTCTGAAGATCTTGCAGGCCATTCACAAAGAGCAAGGTCTTGGTAAGTGCTTCAACGAGGTGTAGTCTGTAAAATTTCAAATGTAGACGTCTTCTTAGCACACGCCAACTAGTGGATTGAGAGGTCGTAAGCTCACGGTTAACTCGATTTGTGGCCTTCCGTGGACTCGCCTCAAACACATCACGGATTCTCGCCACTTGTTCCTTCGATACTCGTGATCGTCCTGGATATTTTCCTTTACACAGACACCTACTCTCTTGAAAATGTATAAACCAATATCGAATGTAATTAGGAGAGAGCGGATTAATGTTGAATTGCCTTCGAAAAGCACGCTACAACGTGACAACCGTATTTGTTTTCGAGAACACGAGAACGCAGAACGCCTTTTGCTGAGGAATCGCCATTTCCGGGGTAAACAAACAACTGAACGTTGCCGGAGATACGACACGACTATAGCGCCCTGTCGCAGCCATTCAAAACTTAGAAAACCCCTCTTTCAAATGGTCCCTGGATGATGCTTGAGAACTGAAGCAATGCGTCATGAAATCGGTTCATTCTTTTTGAAGAACCCTGTATTTTCTGGAGAAGAAACACGTTTTCTTTAGAGAAGAAATATATTTTTTAATTTAAAACTTATTTTTGTATTTTAAAATGAATAAATAAGAAAGAAATCACATGTGTGTGTTAACCACTTTCATCAGTGAGAAAATTATATCGGGGGTTCAATTTTTTTAATTATTGAGAAATCTTTTCTCCCAAAACAATCAAACCTTTCACTATTTCTATGGAAGATGCTTATGCGTACCGTCTTCTGTGATGAAAATGGCTGACAGAGCTTCAACGGAAAATTACCTGGAATCTCTTCTAGTAGTGCGACCCACCTTATGATGAGCCATATCTGATGTGGCCCACTGGTCGGAAAAGTTGACCATGTCTGGTCTATACTAACATTAGCGGCTTCTATTTGGTTGTCTGTGGCGTGATCAGACTAAAACAAGGTACAGTATAATAATTACACGACATCCACATGTGATATACATGGAATGGGAATGGGACGTTCGGGCGTGACCAATTCGGCGTAGCCGATTCGGCATAGGAATTTTTCGGGAGAGGGACGATTAGGCGTCAGATTACTACTTCGACGTTATAATCAAATATGTTCTCTCTCTCTCTCGTTTCGTAGTCAAATTAGTACTTCAGTGTTATATGCTCGAATAGTCCAATTAAAAAAAAAAAAGATTAGATGGAGGCATTTTTATATTTAAGAAAAGAGCAGTTGGAGGTATTTTATATTTAAGAAAAAGAGTAGTTGGGGGTATTTTATATTTAAGAAAAGGAGTAATTGGAGGTATTTTTAAATGTAAGAAAAAGAGTAGTTGGAGGCATTTTTATATTTAAGAAAAGAGCAGTTGGAGGTATTTTATATTTAAGAAAAGGAGTAATTGGAGGTATTTTAAATGTAAGAAAAAAGAGTAGTTGGAGGCATTTTATATTTAAGAAAAGAGCAGTTGGAGGTATTTTATATTTAAGAAAAAGAGTGGTTTATTTTATATTTAAGAAAAAATAATTTTTATTTTAAATGTAAGAAAAAGAGTAGTTGGGGGTATTTTATATTTAAGAAAAGGAGTAATTGGAGGTATTTTTAAATGTAAGAAAAAGAGTAGTTGGAGGCATTTTTATATTTAAGAAAAGAGCAGTTGGGGTATTTTTAAATGTAAGAAAAAAGTAGATGGAGGTATTTTTATATTATATTTCCTTCAGTGCAACTTCATATTTATCATTCGTCAAATCCATTTTATTCCAAATGGAAGCAAATATTTTATCAAAACGTGGAAGAAACGAAGTGATACACAATGGATATAAATGCATATAAAGTGGGGGTTGACATGTCTAGCTGGTTGCCTGGAGGCCGTGAGTTCACTCCCTCCCCCGTGCTGGGAAGTAAATTTGATTTTTATTTTTGTCTTCAACCACAAGTAGAATACCTTGTTCGTATCTGTTAAAAATAACCACGTAAATAAGATACTATTTTTTTACACTATTTACTTTCTTTGAATTGTTGTCCTCATCTTTGTTGTTCACGACGTTTCGGTCGTTGTACGCTCCGGCCTTTTCAGATGATTAGAATTTCGAACGGAACACTTTATTTCGTCCACCGAGGTAGATACCTCTAGTTCTGCGTGCCATGCCACTTCCGGATATCTCAGTTTAGGTTACTTCCTTTAGTAACTCAACTCTCCAAGTTTTTTTTTTCACCTCTGCTGTGGCCAGGTATTGAACTCACAACTTCTTTGGTCAAGTCACTGGATTACTTCAACCAATGCTTTTATCCACTGGGTTCAGTTATAAATTCCAATCACCTGAAGAAGGCCGGAGCGTACAACGGCCGAAACGTCGTGAATATGTCAATAAAGATGAAGACAACAGTCCGAATTATGTAAATAGTGAAAATAGTTGCAATACCTCATCTCAGAAATATAGACAGATGTTGTTTTTATTGTCTTCGCACACTTCAGAATGAAATCAATCGAAATTAATTCTATGTTTTTCTGATTTTTTAATGTATTTTTATACTAGTGTCTCGTTACCATCTTAGAGCTATCGTTGCGAGGGTCAGTGATATTTTATATCTCAGGGAGAGAATTTATTTAGTACAAAGTTTCTGTTTACCAATTAACTGACCCTTGCACACCCAGAAACCCCTTGTGTCTTAGTGGCCTTATCGCCTTGCTTGTGGTGAATACAATTTGAAAAAAAAACACTTACTGTAAGCCGTGCACAATGAGACCAATGAAAAAGATAACAAACAAGTGATGTGTGAACCAGAAGACCTCAAAATATGAACGCCTATTAAGAAACAAAATGGTGACAGATTGGAAGTAATAAAAGTCATTTCTCGTAAAAGAAAATGAAAGTTAAAAAAAAAAACGTATTGAAAAAATTAAAAAAGTACATGAGAAAACAAATTAAATGAAAATCATAAAACAGGAATTGAAAAAAATAAAAATGGTAGTAAAAGAATGAATTGAAAAAAATAAAAATGGTAGTAAAAAATGAATTGAAAAAAAAACATGAAAAAGTTCATAAAAGAAAAAAAAAAAAAAAACAAATTGAATGAAAGATATAAAACAGTAATTGAAAAAATAAATAGAATAAAATAAATGAATAATTTTAACGTAGTCTGACAAAAGGACACAAGCAACGAGTCCGGTCTGAATGAATAGCTTGCTAACCACCAGTCTCTAACAGACGATAAATATAAATAGGGATTAAACTAATCTGGCACAAGTCTAAAATAAGAGACAGCTCAGTGAGAATCGATCTCCAGCGTAATTACCTATCTGCTGTTTTGTAATAGTCTCATATTTTGTAGGGAAGGCCGACAATGCTAAAATTTCAATTAACTCAATGGCTAACAGTCGGTGACATACGTTTAATATTAACTAATTTTACGTTGTCTAGCACAGGTTTACAATAGTGGAACTCTGACAATGGATTAACATTAGCCTGTGTTCCAGAAATCATAGGTGTCACTTTCTGATTGTGAGAATCAGTTTCCTTACAGTCCCTTTTTCTCTTAAATCTCCCACGTTGATTACATGTTATGTCTATAATAGTATTCTCAGCATTTGTTGGTGGAACGACATCTTGTTTCAAGTGACGTCTTCACCTGCGAGGAGATTGTTACCAGATAGGGAATTCGATATTGCGTAGCAGTTCAGAAACCAAAAAAGTTTAGTGCATATTCTTATTAGCACAACAGACAGCCAATTACAGAGATATACACGCGGACAACAGATAGAATAGGTACGCATGTATAAAGAAAGGAAACAGAGTTGTACGCACGAATGCAAAGAAGAAAAAAACGGGCCCGTGCGCACACACAAAAACACACATAAATCTCAGGCGCGCGTACACACACACACGCAAAGTCTACAGTGATAAAGAGAATACACACGCGCGTATACATACAGAGAAAATATCCACGAAAAGAAAAATACGGGAGAGAGATATATAGAGAGAGACAACACAACAGAGAATATGACAACACAAACAGGGAGAGTGACAGCACAATAGAGCGAGAGTGAAAGTAACAACCCAAGGAGATAGATAGATAGATAGATAGAGAGAGATAGATAGAGAGAGAGAGAGAACACAAAGAGAGAGAGAGAGAGAAAGTGTTCGTGAGAGTGACAACAAAAAGAGTGAGGGAGAGAGTGAGAGTGGCAACACAAAGAGAGAGAGAGAGAGTGGCAACACAAAGAGAGAGAGAGTGGCAACACAAAGAGAGTGAGAGAGAGTGACAACAGAGAGTGAGAGAGAGTGACAACAGAGAAAGAGAGAGAGAGTGACAACAGAGTGTGTGTGAGAGAGAGAGAGAGAGAGAGATACAGGCCCATAGAGACACAGCAAAGAACACAAAAATGTCTTCAGAAAAATAGAAAAAAGCTTCACGTTGCGTTCAGAAATCTTTTCCTTAATACAGTCGAGTATTGGATGTATGTAATCGATATGAAGAAGTATAGAGACACAAGAAATATTCAGTTCCTCATCATCTATGCATATAAACAGTCTTTTAAGAGCGGTGGCTCATTTTTTTATTTTCCCCGCTGACTCATTTCCACTTTCCTCTTGAACGACTTTTGAACAGAACGGACGACTAATTTCAACCACTCCCCATCTCCAAGCTGCTTCTACTGTTTATGTTCCAAGATTAAATTTATAATGTAAACGAGTTTTCACGTATTTTCGGCTATTATATTAATTTCACGCATTACAACAGGATTCTCTTCTTGGGTCTATCAGACAGCAAACGATTTATATAGGTTTCATGTTTACTGAAAAGACTCATGGATTATTTTTCCTCGTGTTTAGAAAATTTGTCTTTTTAAAAAGATAATAAAATAAGGAGCATTAGAAAACAAGTACATTTTTTTATCACTGATATGGTAACGAATATAGTACATATTTGCTACACATATATTGCTTCTTTTTTTTTAATTAAAGTTGTCTGTGGTTAAATACAGGTAATAAGGCTTGATAAACCGTAAGAAATGAATCAGTCCAAAAAACCAAAAAAGAAAAAAAAAAGAAAGAAAGAAAAAAGAACAAACAATAAATACAGGTAAAAATATCAAAATCTAAGTTTTGCGAAGGTTTGGCGCTGGACAATTTATAATGAGAGGATGATAGCAATATTTTGCATTTAAAAAGAATTGTTAACAGATCGGCTGATATTAAGGTTGTAACAGTAAAGACATTTTGGTTGCTTATAGAAAACGTTGTACATACCAAAAGTACCTGGACATATAATGATAAATTTATCTAAGCAAAGTATTAAGAAACAGGATAATTTCGTTAGAAACAAAGAAAAGTATGGCAGTGAATGCTGGATAATCTTCTCGCAGAGGAAGCAAAAGAAATGTGGTCCTACAGAAGGATGCTAAGAATACCATGGGCCGAACACGGAATAACGACAAGGTCATAGATAAAATGGAAACAAAATGGACACTTATAGATAGCTCCAGAAAGAGACTGTTGAAATTACTCGGGCTCATAATGAGGAGAGAGGGCTTGAAAAATTTGATACTCACAGGGCAGACGAAAACAGCGCATAACCTACCTAGCGAGCTTGAGTAAACTGACGGCGGGATAAAATTTAGGAGAGATAGCAAAAAGACAAAATTTATTAAGAGTTACAAAGGACAGGAAATTGTGGAGGGCCATGATCGCTAACGTCCTGAAGGGACACGGAACATAGAAGAAGAATTATATATTATTTTATCTGAAGACATGAAATAAGCAAGGTTAAATTAAGGTCAAGTAGTAGTAATTAGTAGAATTATTATGACTAATAAACAGTGTAAATGACATCAGCTCGGCTGAGAAAGATATTAAAACAGATTTACCTTATCAAATCAGTCGCTGACGTGACCATTAAGATGAGACAAAGTGTTATCACAGCACCGCTTGAACCGGCCAGTAATTTAAACAATTCAATCACAGGATTCTGTTGAGAATTAAATAACTGAACTTCAGAAAAGTGTGGAAAACAGTTTAAATCAAAAATATCATAAGGTGAAACCACTTCGTAAAACGATATTAAAAATCAGTAACAAATTTAGTCTTGAAAAATGATTGATGGGATTTAATAAAAATGTAATATTTTTAAGCAACCAAAGCAGGCGGGTCGAACACAAAATTGGTGCGGTTTTGTTCTTTGTTTATAACTTAGACATATTCTCAGATTACTAATAAAACTCTATGCAGAATATACCATTGTTTTCGGGGGCACCTTCAAAGACCAAGTTTTCCAGCCGATGTCTCTTATCTCGCACTAAGTGGGGGAAATTGCCATCTGTAAACTTGAATCTTTTCAAAAGACAAGCTGGTATCGATTCATCATCTCCAGTCAGACACCGAGGTTTTGTCAGTCAGAGAGAAAATATTCCACACTCGACGAGGTTCCAGTCAGGGAGAAAAAAGTTTCTTTCTCAACGTGGCTCCATTCAGAGAGAAATGGTTCCATTCTCAACGAGGTTCCAGTCATAGAGAAAATGATTCATTCTCAACGTGGCTCCATTCAGAGAGAAACGGTTCCATTCTCAACGAGGTCCCAGTCATAGAGAAAATGATTCATTCTCAACGTGGCTCCAGTCAGAGAGAAACGGTTCCACGCTCAATGAGGCTCCTGTCAAGTAGAAATATTTTATTCTCAACGTTCCTCCAGTCAGAGAGAAATGGTTTCACCCTCAACGATGCTCCAGTCAGGAAGTAGAGAATTCATTCTCGACATGATTCCAGTCAGAGGGAGATGGTTCCAATCTCAACAAGGTTCCAGTCAGAGAGAAAAGAATTCATTCTCAACATGGCTCCAGTCTGTGAGAAAATGTTATACACCCAACGAGGCTTCAGTCAGGGAGAAAAGGTTTCATTCCAAACGTTACCCCAGACAGACCTGAAATGCTTGCACGCTCAACGAGGCTCCAGTCAAGAAGAAGAGGATTCGTTTTCAACGTGGTTTCAGTCAGAGAGAAATTGGTCCACTCTCAACGAAGTTCAAATCAGGGAGAAAAGGATTCATTCTCAACAGGGCTCCAATCTGAGAGAAAATGTTAGACTCCCAACGAGGATCCATTCATTGCGAATAATGTAAATAGTGTACATAATGTCTCAGAGTAGAGAAAATGAGTCCAAATGCTAACTGCGGAGAAAGCCGTCATATTACGTTTGGGCGGGATGAAAACGAAGAACCTTCGAGAAGAATATAAATTAAACGGAAAACTATCTAAAAGAAAAGAGAAAAATGATATTTCATTAAATGGCATACAAACATACCTGACACCAGAAAAATGTTTTTTATAAGACAAAATGATTTTATCGGTATCTGTCAATGTTTCTGAGATGAGGCATTATGTACACAATTTACATTATTCGGACTATTGTCCTCATCTCGCCATATTTATTATAACGTTTCGGCCGTTGTACGCTCCGGCCTTCTTCAGGTGGTTGGAATGTCGAACTGAACTCTTTATTTTTCTCACTGGTAGACTGTTCTAGTTCCGTTGTTTAATGGATGCCAGTTATCAATTATCTCCTGTTAATTCCCCTCTTCAAGTTCTGAAATGCATTGGAGCCGTCAATCAAACCATACCAGAAACAAAGATACCGGCAATCAAACTCTGCAAGAAACAAAGAGGCCAAGAAACACAGCACACAAGAAGCAAAAACACCATCAGTCAAACCATACCAGAAGCAAAGACGCCAGGACCAAAGGCAAGCACACCACACCAGAAGCAAAGACAAACACACCACAGCAGAAGCAAAGACAAAGGCAAGCACACCATACCAGAAGCAAAAGGCAAAGGCAAGCACACACACCAGAACACAAAGGCAAGCACAAATAAAAGACAAAGACAAAAGTACACTACACCAGAAGCAGAGACAAAGGCAAGAACACCACACCAGAAGAAGACAAAGGCAAGCACACCACAGCAGAAGCAAAGACAAAGCAAACACACAAACAGAAGCAAAGACAAAGCAAGCACACCACACCAGAAGCAAAGGCAAAGGTAGACACACCACACCAAAATCAGAGACAAAGGCAGAACTCTACACCAGAAGCAAAGACAAACACACCACACCAGAAGCAAAGGCAAGCACACCACAGCAGAAGCAAAGACAAACACACCACACCAGAAGCAAAGACAAAGGCAAGCACACCACACCAGAAGCAAAGGCAAAGGCAAGCACACCATACCAGAAGCAAAGGCAAAGGCAGACACACCACACCAGCAAACAAAAAGACACAAGGCAGAGACAAAGGCAAGCACACCACACCAGAAGCAAAGACAAAGGCAAGCACACCACACCAGAAGCAAACAAAGGCAGCACACCACACCAGAACAGAGACAAAGGCAAGAACACCACACCAGAAAGAGACAAAGGCAAGCACACCACACCAGAAGCAAAGACAAAGGCAAGCACACCACACCAGAAGCAGAGACAAAGGCAAGAACACCACACCAGAAGCAGAGACAAAGGCAAGCACACCACACCAGAAGCAAAGACAAAGGCAAGCACACCACACCAGAAGCAAAGGCAAAGGCAAGCACACCACACCAGAAGCAGAGACAAAGGCAAGCACACCACACCAGAAGCAAAGACAAAGGCAAGCACACCACACCAGAAGCAAAGACAAAGGCAAGCACACCACACCAGAAGCAAAGGCAAAGGCAAGCACACCACACCAGAAGCAGAGACAAAGGCAAGCACACCACACCAGAAGCAAAGACAAAGTTAGACACACCACACCAGAAGCAAAGACAAAGACAGGTACACAACAACAGAAGCAAAGACTAAGACAGCCACATAACACCAGAAGCAAAAACAAAGACAGCCACATAACACCAGAAGCAAAAACAAAGACAGCCACATAACACCAGAAGCAAAAACAAAGACAGCCACACAACACCAGAAGCAAAGACTAAGACAGCCACATAACACCAGAAGCAAAGGCAAAGTTAGATACACCACACCAGAAGTAAAGACAATGGCAAACTCACCACACTAGAAGCAATGACAAAGGCAGACACACCCCAGCAGAAGCAAAGGCAAAGACAAGCACACAACACCAGAAGCATTATCAAAGGCAGACACACCACACCAGAAGCAAAGGCAAAGACAAGCACACAGCAACAGAAGCAAAGACGAAGACATATAACACAGAAAGCAAAGACACTGGTAGGCGGAAAAGCAGGGTCACTCACAATGAACCTCGCTAATGTGTATCCTCGTCACTGGCTTTGTTTCTCTGTCCACCTTGTCATGTTGTCAAGGAACAAATCAATAAATGCAGAAGGTAAAAATAGGAAAATTTATTTCAATGCTATTTAGGGGAATAATCACGCAATTGTCGCACATCTGCGTTCGAGGCTAGACGCAATATGACACAAGATGTGTAACATTATAGACGTTGAATTAATAATTTTGCGCTGACTAACCCAATATAATATATAAAAAAATCATTAACAAGTGGAATATTTCTTGGTGGTACTAAAACTTGATAGAAAGACGTTAAAATGTTCTACTCACGGCGTTGGCGTTCCGAACTGGATTGATGTATGTTCCATTTTCGGTAATCGGAAGTTGACTCAACGCGTACAGGAAATCTCGAAGCTCCGAGTCTGAACTGTCATGAGCCTGGACAAACCACTCAAGGTTAAAACAATGGGCGCCTGTGTGGATGGCTACTCAGATTAAAACAAGGGAACAAAACAATTATGAAATACTTTCATTTTTATTTTACGAGGAGGAGATAAAATATTCTCAGAACGACCCGCTTCCGAACATATGATCAAAAGAACAAGTATCAAATATAGACTTTCTGTTTTGAAGGACACCTTGATTGGTCTGGGAATTTATCAGCACTGCTCCAAGAATCATTTTCTCATACCATTCCAGTTAACGTGCATTTAGACCTCCCCCCCCCAATCTACTCGATCGATCGCGGTCGCGAAATCCTGAACCATCAGGGTCTTAGGGGTACCACATGTACTGCAACTGCAGTAGAAGTGGTGTGTCTTGGGCAAAATAACCCAACGGAGACAAACCCTATTCTGGACGGTTTTGAGTTCAGAGTTGCCTTATTCTAGACCGGTTGCCACCCAAGGCAATAGAACCCAGTGTGCCATGCTATTTACCCATATCTAGCACTGCGCAATTTCTATATGATATATATTATGATATATATGTATATATATATATATATATATATATATATATATATATATATATATATATATATATATATATATATATATATATAAATATATATATATATATATATATATATATATATATATATATATATATACACAAAATATATATATATAATATATATATATATATATATATATATATATATATATATATATATATATATATATATATATATCCAAATGAGATAGATGGAGTAAAATTACACTGTTGGTAGCATTTACTTTTAAAAATGTGCTCAATACAAAGTAGAGCAGTATATTATTATTTTTATTATAAGAGATTATAACAAAAACAATTTGAAATTGCTGCACAAAAGATTTCATATTTCAATACATTCTTTAATTTCTTCAGGCGATGGCAAGTAACTTACAATCGCCTGAAGAAATACAATCATAGTATTGAAATATGAAATCTTTTGTGTAGCGATTTCAAAATGTTTTTATTATAATCTATTATATGTAACAGGAGGATTTCTTTGGTGACAAAGAAGAGTTCTGAGCTGCTACGGGACATCTGTCTTCCGGTACGGCAGCGAATTTTGAACGATATCCTCACGGATAGAGAAGAGACTCGAGGCGGCGGAGATGTGGTTCTACAGAACGATGCTGAGGATATTATGGACTGTGTATGTGAGTAACAATGAGGTCTTGGAGATGATGCAGACATGGAGGAAGCTTATGCTTAAGAGGCAGATGAAATTTCTGGGAAACGTGATGAGAAAGGAGGGCCCCGAGAATCTGATACTCATGGGACGAATAAAGGGAAAAATGACAGGGAAAAGCAGCGGGCTTGGGCAGGTGGATGGCGAAGTGTGATCTGGGGGAGTTGGCAGAAACACAAAACCTGTTGAGAGCCACAAGGGATAGGGGGAAGTGAAGCGCCACGATCGCCTACGTCCTGAAAGGACACAGCACATAAAAAGAATGATTATATATATATACTCTTAAGGGATAAAGTGCTCAATATCAGAGATAGAGCGTGTGTAAATTTTAAAAGTGAACATAGAAGTCAACACTAAGAGGCGAATCGTCAGGCAAATGTTTAGAATGTTCTTTAATCGCTAGTTTCTCCTCAGTAAATCTGCGTCCAATTCTGACAACGTTTCATCATTCTTGGTAGATCTTCTGTTATCAAAATATGGTATTCTTAATAACAAAGATGATGGAAACACAAAAGAAAAGAAAAAGAATCTAAATGAAACCGGGTAGACAATATACCCCAGAAATAAAATTTTATTTTTTTTATAAATTACCAGCGTCTCTCGTTTGTGCGCATGTGTAGTCGCATCAACGTAAACAAACCTAGTCCGATGACATCCTAAGGGACGAAACACGACACACGAAAACTTTTTTCACTTTGTCGTATATATATATATATATATATATATATATTATTATTTTTTTTTTTTATTATAATAGATTAGAACAAAAACATGTTGAATTCGCTACACAATAGCTTTTGTGTTTCGGCACTACGTTGTGCTTCTTCAGGCGATGGTAAGTGACTGGTGATTAAATGATTTTTAAGAAAATTACAAAAGCAAAGTGTTACTTCTTTTTTGAAAGAAAAAGTGGGGTCTTAGGAAACACAAGGTCAGAATTAAAAATAAACTTGTGGGTTTGCCTTGATCAAGTGTCAGATCTACAGTAAATAATGCATCTGTCTTTTCTCACATTTGAAATATATATATATATATATATATATATATATATATATATATATATATATCACAATGAATCATTCATACAGTCATCTTCAGGTATGGAAATTTTTTTGTAAGTATGTACAGTTGAAAGTACAAGCAGATTAAAAAGACCTTATACAGCTTGTTGTTATTAAAATCAAGGATCATAGCATTCATCATCGTTAATGCAATTTAAAATTTTGTTTGCGAAACTTTAAAATTTTGTTTCATTAAACTAATCTACTTTTTGTCTGAATGATTTTTAATTTAAATTGAACTTACTACACACACACACACACACACACACACATATATATATTTATATGAATGTTTCAAATTGAAAATTATAAATTTTTGAAAGTATTTATTTATATATATATTTGATACAAATTGTCCTCAATTTTTCATCAGAAATAACTGTTTGTTACAAATAAATTAAAATTACTGTTTTTATTTATGTTTCGCGAGACGTTGACGTCATTTTATATGGAACGTCACTGTTCGGATATTCCTAACTTAAATCTAACTGTCATAAATATTTTTAAAAAATTTTTTTACTATATCTAAAAAAAAATTGCTTAACTATTGAAATATTTATAAAGATTTAAAACACCTAAGTCCCTATTCAACCCTAGTTTATGTGTATTTAATTTTAAAATCCAATATGTTTCTTTTTTTCTGCGTGTGAATGTGGAAGTAAAATCGGAATCTATTAATAAACATTTGCAGTTTTCTAATGTGTGTCCTGATTGATTGTAGTGTTTAGCTATGTTCCATATCACGTGACGTCCGCGTCTCGCGAAGGACGCTACTTGCTAACAAACAGTAATTTTAATTTATTTGTAACAAACAGTTATTTCTGATGAAAAATTGAGGACAATTTGAAATATCAAATATATATATAAATAAATAAATACTTTCATAAAATAAAACATTATAATTTTCAATTTGAAACTTTTTCTATATATACATATTAAGAAAGTATATGTGGCTTCTCATTATGCTATATATATATATATATATATATTTATATTCATACATGTTTCATTAGATAATATAGACAAGTGTTGTCTATTTTATGTAAATTCTTTTCATATCGTCTGATAAGCTTAATAACATTATCATGAAACGAAGAAAGAAAATACCAATATTGATACATATTTTTTTTTATCCAATCTAAGCTTTCGGCTTACATAAGCCATTATCAAAGATGACAATTACTGTACAATATATTAAGCAATACACGGGCAAGAATGTGATGATAGTCTGTTTCTGTTTACATGGATGATTTCCAAGCAACGATAAACACGTGCATATAAGACGCTGGAATGAAACCTGTATGAATGAAAAAATTCTGCCTAAATACACACACACACACACACACACACATATATATATATATATATATATACATGTGTGTGTGTGTGTGTGTGTGTGTGTATATGTGTGAAGGGCAACCGAACATTTGGTAATATTACACTTGTAAGAAAAGGTCTCTTACCTGTTTGTAAGCAGATCATGTAAGCAAAGTATTTATGGAACATGATGTTCTTGTCGAGAGATCTTCGAATAAATCGGCATCGCTGAGAAATAAATGAGATACACAACTTTTAATATAAAAGCAAATGACGTTTTGTCTCAGAAAAACAAAAAACCCAAACATTTGTGCTTTAAAAATGTTACCCCAGACAATAGGAAATCCTCTCCATTTCTTATGCCATATCCCTTCAGTTTGTAGGCAATCAAAGCTCCCTACATATTCTTCTTCGTCTATTGGCATGTCTCTTTAAGATCTTTCGATCATGGCTCTCCACAATTTCCTGTCATTTTTAACGCTTAATAAATTTTGTCTTTTTCTTATCTCCCCTAACCCATCTGCCGCTATACATTTACTCAAGCTCGCTAGGTAGGTTATGCGTCGTTTTCCATTGTCCCTCTTGCCCTCAATCTGTCCTGTGAGTATCAAATTTTCCAAGCCTTCATGATGTGCTCTAGAAACTTCAACTGTTTCTCCCTGATGTTAAATATAAGTGTCATTTTTGCTTCCATTTTCTCTTTTTGTTTTTATGGTATTTCTCAGCATCCTTCTGTAGAACCACATTTTTGTTGCTTCATTTCTCTTCTTCATCTGCGAGGAGATTGTCCAACATTCACTGTTATGTAGGAGGACTGATATTACATGAAAGTTCAGTACACTTTTCTTAACGAGGAAAAAGGATTTGGAGAATTTGACACCTACAGGGAATATCGAAGGCAAAAAGGTAAGATGAAGGCAGTAAACAACCTACACACACACACACACACACACACACACACACACACACACACATATATATATATATATATATATATATGATAAAATATACTTTTAAGGTATGTTGTATTTATGGGTTAAAGTGTATGTACAGGACTGGAATAACCATTTTGCAAAATAAGCACGTGCTTAGGGCATCAAGGGGAGAGCGGCACTACAGGAATTGTAATGATATGATGTTGCACACATCTAAAAAAATAAGTCTAACACTATTAACATTTGAATCAACATCTCGCCATTATGAAGGTGGTGGGGGGCAACTGACCTACAGCGAATCTTTTGACATTCTGATTGGTTAATAAGGGAATGAGCCAAGGGAGATAATGAGGATTGTATTTACTCAATACAACACATCTCTTCGCTTTAATAAGTTAGTATTAATAATTAACTTAATGGGATTTAACTTTGCGAACAGAGGTAGATTACCTTCATGTTCTGACACCCTGAGCTTGTTCCTTGTCTTTCTCTGTATCCTTTCCTCAAACACCCCTCTTTACTCTTATTCTCAATCCTCTGTAACCCCTTGCGTGCCAGTGGTCCTCCCGCCTTGCTTGGGGTAAATTGCTTAAAAATGTTCGTTTGGTATTATTCTAGCCATATTTTTATGCAATTCTGTAAGACGCTGGTTTGTTGATGATACGACCACTTCTGGTCAAAGTTCTGTTAGAATTTGGTCATGGCTTATTTGAGAGTGGCTGCACGATTGTTTCTTTCTTGGTTGGTGTTGTTCTGGGTTGGAACCGATGGTCAGCCTCTCTCGATTATCGTATGTGCCATCGGTTCATTCTATATTTATTTCCAGTTAGCATTTCCACGATGCATGTTCTTGGTTGATAGCCTTTATTTATTTGCACTACTTATCAAGAGTCCATGCTAGCATACTTAACTTGCAGCCCCCCCCCAATCTTTTAAGTGTTTTATCTGCCCCTGTGTATGTAAATATAAAAGTGGACATTGAAATCAACACCCTCAGCAAAACACTTGATTTAGTCTCAAAATATGAGACGGGTAGAGGGTTTAGTACTAAAACCAATGATTTAGTTTAAATTATCAGCATTTGGAGAATTTTTTGCCTTCACAATTTAGAGTTTAGATCTTCGATCGACTTTTTAGTATTTCTAGAGACGGTACAAAAGAACAATACCCCAAACAATGTTTAATTTCCTTTGTACATAAAATTTTCGGAGTTAACTCCTCCTTAATTGCCTAATTGTTCAAATTGTTCACTAGGACGCGCTCTCTCATCACAATAAATACGTGACAAGACCCTGCCTCATCCTCGTTTTCATTCTTCATTTTCAGTGAACATATCTACAATGTAAGCTCTCACAGAAAATTGCGTCTTTCCTTTGTGGGGGGCGCTATGCGTTTCCTTCGGGAGACGCTATGAACATTATACATACACATATACGTACGTACAAACGTTCATTGAACACGAAATTTCCACACACACACACGTTAATGTCTTTGTCCATTGTCATTTCTGTTGTTTAATACATATACTTGTTTATACATTTATATCAGTCCTCTTTACATTTCGTTGCTTGGAGTCAACTTGAGTCTGCCATATTTTTGTTGTGGACTTTATTTTTTATCAGGAGTCACACACGTGTTCCTAATTTAACAACACGTAAACTCACGGTCCGCTATAAAATATTAACCCATCTTCTTCAAGGGAAAGAAATCTTCATGACATAGCAGTTCAAAAGTTTTTAATTTTTCACTCGTATATTTTAAAATTTTAATTTCAGCCAATTTTTATTCTTAGAGATTAATTGATTGATTTGTTTTTTATTTGTTCATCAACCCTTAATTTTAATTTTAATTGTTATTTAATGGATTTGTTTTTTAATGGTTTATCAACCCTTAATTTTAATTGCTTCTTAATTGATTTCTTTTTTAATGGCTTATCAACTGTTTGGCGTTTATTTAAAGCTAGAAAATATTTTTGTAAGAATTTTAAAAAGTTAATTAAGATTTATTTACACGATTTACATTGTTCGGATTGTTGTCCTCATCTTTATTGTCATATTCACGATGTCTCGACCGTTGAACGCTCCGGCCTTCTTCAGGTGATATACAATGGGATTTTGAACTGAACTTTTCCAACGAGGTCTGGTGAGAGTTCAAGATCCAACAGATGTTCAATTCAATGAACCTCTTTGAGAGAAGACCCACCCATCATGATAAGTGAAAAATATGGCTCTTGTATATCTAGATTATAGAAGTGGGTGTCAGACACTAACCATTTTCCCAGCCTCTTTAGCAATAGAACGGATATACGAGTTCCACTTAAGGTCTTAAGAGAGCTTGAGTCTCAGGAGAAGTTCAAGGCGAGGAACATCCTTGAAAGAAATCCCACCAATCCTTGTAGATGAAAGTTCAGTCTGCTTGGTGATAGTGGAACTTGTTACTAGTTGCCTCTGGCCGAATTGAATCTTATAAGTCCGTTTTTTCCTTCTTGAGCCACCTGGGCTGGGTCAGAGAGACCAGTTGTCAGGTTTCAGGTCATGTAGATTTTTGGATGCGCACCAATAAAAGTATAGAGATATTCACTAAAGATCGTAATATGTTCTTGGGTAGATCCTTAATAGAGAGCAGAAAGAAGGTAGGACCGAAGAGAGAACCCTGAGGAACATCGATACTGATCTTATAGGCTTTCGATGACTGGTCGATAACAACGACCTTCATGAACCTGCCGGTTAGTCAAAGACTTGTTAACTGAGAAAACTCTTCCATAGCTGGAGAGGTTACAGACAAAAATATTGTTGTTTACACTATTTAACTGAAGTCTGTTGCTCTCATGTACGATGAGGATAATAGTTCCCAAGTAAATAGCGTAAATGAGGATAAATCCTCATCTCAGAAATTCAAACAGAGATTATCGAATCGGTACGGACCCGATGTAATACGCTCATCATCATCTTGCGGCCTCAGCCGAGATTGAACTCACTACACCTTTCCAGTATTCCTTATCTGTCATAGCTAATACTTTGATTGGTGTAGTTCATAATCTTGTCAAATAGCTGAATTCTTGATGCTTCGCTAGGGCTATCAAGGGTGTTTTTATCGTGACACCATCACTAAATGGATTGCCAACCAAGGCTTAGAGAGACTCCATTCACCCTCCGCAGGTTTTGAATTCAGAGTTTTCCTTCTCCTAGACCAGTTGCCATCCAAGGCTATAGAACCCAGTCTGTCCTGCTATTTACCCATAGCTGGAGGGAGAAGAAGAGGATTCATACCTTTCCGTAGGGTGTTAGCACGTAAGTGAATATAATGGATTCGACTGGAATTCGAACTCGGTTCTTCGATTCCTTAATCCAAGTCGCTATCCATTACTCCACCGTGCTAATGGAGACGATCGGTAAAACTCCAAAAATTGGCAAGGATCTCTAACCACCTGACATTCCTATAAAGATAAAGTGAACTAAAGCTAGTTCCAAGGTTTATTAATAAAGACATCGTTTGTTTCCCGAGGATTCAAAGTGAAGTGGAAAGAGAAGGACACTCTCTCGTAAGTGAAATGATTCACCACAACCGCCGGAGGAATTATCTGTTGGAACATGAAATTTCCGAATAGATCAGAGCATTATTTAGCAGAAAGGACGCTAATGGTATGAATAATGATCACACCTAATCCCAGAAATTCTGACAGAAGGCGATCAGGTGATAATAACAACAAAGATGAGGACAATAATCCGCATGTCAATAGTGTAAATAATGATAACTTCTTATCCTAGAAATTCAGGAAGAAAAATATTCTGTTCACAAATAATACTTACGAATGTTCCTCTGAAAAAAGAAAGTAAGTTTCGGCAAATTGGTAACATTATCAGCATACAATTTAGGTTCAAGCAAGAAGCACTTCCACGAGCCACCGGCAGTGCATACTGAAAAGAGAAATCATATAAGAAAATGACATGTATATAAGGAAAATTAATAAAAAACAAAACAATGTCGAAACTTTTCACGTATAGATCAGCACTTCGGCTTTCGATCAATGTATGCAGCGCTTTGAAAATTTACTCATACACACATTATATTCTTCAATGTGCCGTATCCATTCGGGACATTTTGGATCATGGCTCTCCACAATTTCTTATCCTGTGTAGCTCTTAATAAATTTTGTCTTCTTTTTATCTCGCCTAAACCCTGTTCTGCTATCCATTTTACATAACATCACTATGCGTTGATTTCCTCTGTCCCCTTTGCCTTAAATGATACTGTCAGTATCAAAATTTCCAAGTCCTCCTTCCTCATTATGTGCCCTATAAATTTCGACTGTCTCTTTCTGATGTTAAATATAAGCGTCCTTTTTGTTTCCATTTTGTCTAAAACCGTGTCGTTGCTCACATGTTCAGTCCATTCTATTCTCAGCATCCTTCTGTAGAAGCACATTTCGTTTGCTTCAAGCCTCTTTTTCATCTTCTGTTCAGCATTCACAGCCATATAGTTGGGATGATATTACTTAACCGCTCAGTACGCTTTTCTTTGTTTCTAACGAAAATTTTCTGTTAATACTTTGCTTAGCTTTTGGAAGGCATCTTTCGATATCTTAATGTGCATTCAGATTTCAGTCTCGCACTTTCCGTCTTCTGTTAAATTATTGCCCAGATATTTAAATTGTTGTACTTGTTTGATTTTGATATCTCCAATTTGTAATTTGCATGTTGGGTTGTTCCGTTGGCTGTCTTCTTGCAATCAATTGACGTTTAATACTTTCTTCTTTGCTTTCCTTCACTACCTTTTGTAGGAGTTCTTGTCGTTGTCTTTCTGTGTCTGCTATCAACACTGTGTCATCTGCATATCTGATTTTGTTAAGATTGTGGCTGCCAATAATAAATCCAGGCAGGACTCCTAATTCTCTCAGAATAGCCTCGCTGTATAGATTGAATAAGTTATGAAAATTAAAAACAGTACGTGTGTAAAGATTTTTATTAAAGCTTTAAAAATATATTTTGTAAGGATATATAAAATATACAAAAATATAAAACAAAAAGAATATACATATATTACAAATTGACTGATTTAAAATATGGTTTTTTCGCTACACAGTAATAACCATGTTTCAAAAATAGAAGCTAAAAGCTTAAATTCGAAGCTTTTAGCTTCCATTTTTGAAACATGGTTATTACTGTATAGCGAAAAACATTTTAAATCAGTTAATTTGTAATATTAATGCCCTGTCAATTTACATTGAGCACTATTTTGTAAAAAAATAAAAATATCAATAAGAACACCGGATTATATACCTTACTGTTCTTTCTTTCTTTGTTTATAATATATATATATATATATATATATATATATATATATATATATATATATATATATATATATATATTTTAGAGTGTCTTTTTAAAAAATCTTTAATAAAATTACAGTGGCCAAACTTGTGTTTATGTGGGTAAAGATTTCATTCAATTCTATTACTGGATTAAGCTATGGACATCTTATATAGCCCGCCCTGGGTAAGACGATAAACTACATCCGCGTCCTGGGTAAGACGATAAACTAGATTTGACAGCAAGGCCTCTGATCAGGAGGTTTTGAGGAGCATGGATCCACCTCTTAATTGCTGATGTTCCAAGGTCCACCCTAACCTGGGGTGGTAGCACTTGTTAGGGTCCCAGCGATGGGCAAATAGTTGTCCCCAAACTGGGGTCAAAACATTATGAAAGTGTAAAAATAGGTTTTTATAGCAGCAAAAATTGAGGAAAAATTATTACTAGTAATACATTATTACAAGCAATACATTTTTGAAATATTACCAGCAATACATTTGTGAAGGAAAAAATTATCAGAAATACATCTTTCAAGGAAAAATATTACCAGTATTACAAATTTTGGAAAAAAATATTACCAGCAATAAAAATCTTGTCGGCATTAAATAATCCATTGAGGCGTTGATATGCCGTGAAACAAAACAAACCAAACCAAACCATCTTATCTAGCTATATTATTATTCGCCAGATATATACTTGTTTGTGAAGATGACAAAGTGGAAAATTTATTAACAACGCGTTTCTCCGGTAACGTCTGTTCTCTTTGACTTCCTCAAGTTAGAATGAAAGAAAGACGGGTCTGTATGTGAGGAAAAATGCATTGGAATCTCTGGGGATAAGTAGTTACCATAAATCATATTAGATTAGCCTATGACCTCCAACGTCTAGATTCAAGGGATAGTCTATCCGCCTCTTTGTTTGTCGGATTTAAAATCCAACAATAGCAAATGGATCCAATATATAGAGATAAAACACTTTTGTTTCGAATACTTTTATAAAGCCTCCAGAGATACACTACTTATTTTTATGTGTTAAGTACTTTCAAGATGTGGGTGACCGTGCATATAAAACTTGCTGTTTTTCTTTTTGTTTATCTGACTTTTGACATTTGACTTTTTTCTGTCATCCACGCTTTTGAACGATGGTTTCTTTTCATCTATTTTCAAAATTCAAGACTCATTTTGAGAGAGGGAGAGAGAGGGAGAGAGAGAGAGAGGAGGGAGAGGGGGAGAGGGAGGGAGAGAGAGGAAGAGAGAGAGGAGGGAGGGAGAGAGGGAGAGAGAGAGGAGGAGGAGAGAGGAGAGGAGGGAGATGGAGGGAGAGAGAGGAAGAGAGAGAGGGAGAGAGAGGGAGAGAGGGATGGAGAGAGAAAATTATAGATACTATTTTTTAAAATTTAATGTTGGAATTACGTTGATCGCATGTTATGCTGACAGAAAAAAACCCCAAAAAAAAAAAAAAACAAACAAAAAACACGAGATTCCTACGAAGATTTTCTAAGCGTAGCTTAGATGTGGCATAGAGCCGAAAATATAGGACACCCAGTGAGGATCGAACTCACTACTCAGTTGTAATTGCACGAGAGACCTACGTATAATTACCGATATTTACTTGTACAGAAAAGAATAATAAAAAAAAAAAAACATGAAAAACATTCATTATCTGTAATGACCATTAATCGTAAACACACACACAAAGACTACCGAAGGAGCAGATGGGAAGAAATGATAGATAGATAGATAGATAGATAGATAGATAGATAGATAGATAGATAGATAGAAACACAGAGTGATAGAGGTGGAGAGCGTAAAAAATGGAGATAAAAAGGGGAGATAGGGAGAGATAAAGTAGGGGCTAGAAAGAGCTGAGAGAGAGAGAGATGGAGAGTGAGCAATAGAGGTGGAGAAATGTAGTGGGGGGGATGTGGAGAGATAGCGAGAACGGGAGAAATGAGATAGCGGGAGAGAGAGAAACCGGAAAAAATAGGAGAGAAATAACGTGAGGAGACGGGGAGAGATGGAGGGACAGATGGGGAGAGATAAAGAGCGATATTAGGAGAGATGGAGGGTAGATAGATAGAGATGTGAGATAGAAGGGAAGAGATGGAGGAGGGGACATAGGGAGATAGAGAGGGGGAGATTGGAAGATATAGAGGAGAGAGAGATAAAGAGGAGAGATGGTGGGGAGATGCAAACAAGGAGGAAGCTTATACTTAACATAAGGAAGAGGCAGATGAAATTTATGGGACACAATGTGGAAGGAGGGTCTGGAGAATCTGATACTCACATGTCGAATAGAGAGAAAAAGAGACAAGGGAAAGCAATGCATGACGTGGTCTGGGGGAGTTGGCAGGGACACGAAAATTATTGAGAGTGACAAGGGATAGGGGGAAGTGGAGAGCCATGATCGCCTACGTATCTGCACATAAAAAGAAAAAGAATATCAATTATCATGAAAAAAAAATTACTTTACACTTATTAATTTTGCAACAGAGGTGTATTAGCAGAGACATAGTTCGAATTCCAGTCGGGTTCATTGCCTTCATTGACGTGCAAATACCCTTGCGAAAAGTATGAATTCATTCTTCTCACCCATTCATCATAATCATCATCATCATCCCCTTGAATTTTGTAATCGTAGAGATAATCGGAATGCAGAAGCCATATTGAATCTCCTCCAAAACGGTCCATCAACGGCAGCCATCAACAATTCTGGTATAGTCATACTTGCTCATTCTTTGACATTTTCCAACGACTTTTTGTGTTGGCGTCCTCTCTTACGTTCACCTTCAACGATGCCTTGCATGATGGTCTTGAACACTCTATCGGGTTACTTCCTCCTAATTTTCGATACTGTTCCTAGGGGACGCTCTCCAACACTATAAATACTCCGCGATAATTCTTTATCACTCCCTTCTTACTTTTCCGCTTATACGACAACAACGTAAAGTTCTCGCGGAAGAACGCGATTATAACGTGTTCCCTCTTTTGGGAAAAAACATGATTAATAGTGATTTTCCAAGCGTAGCTTAGATGTGGCACAAGACTGAAATTATGGAGCACCCAGTGAGGATCGAACTCATTACTCAGTCGTAATTGTTCTAACGAGACAATTTTGCAAACCATTACACCGCCTTGGGGCGCCCATGATTTTCTAAGCGTTGCTTAGATGTGGCACGCGAAATAAGGGGCACCCAGTGAGGATCGAACTCACTACTTGTTGTAATTGTTTTAAAGAGAGAAGCTTGCTAACCATTACACCACGCCGAGTTGCCCACACCATGATTAATACATACACACACATGTATGTACGCACATTTACTCACTTCACATACTATGGACCAAAAAGATTTCACATTCTTTTGTTGCACACACATTATTGTCTGTCACTTGTAAACCTTCGTTTAATACATATTCATTTGTTTGTACATATATATTGTTTCTTTACATTTCTTTAGGTGGACTTGTCCCGAGTCTGCCATGTTTATTGTGGGCATTACAGGAGACACACGTGTTTATCTCGCAATGCGTACACCGGCTCGCAGC